ATACAACCCCTAGGAAATTAAAGACTTGACTATTTCTATTGCATGATTATTATAATACCATTTGTCGTTTCTTTTTAACTTCCCTCCTTTCCTAAACACTACAACTTTAGTTTTTTCTATATTGACTGTAAGGTTCCATTTACAAGAATGAGAATATAAACTATCTAGTGATTTTGTAACCCAGTACTTGTTTGGAGACGATTAACGCGTCATCAGCGAATAGGAGCAAATATATAGCAATTTGATCAATATTTATTCCAGCGTCAATATTTTCCTGTAATTGCATTTCTATATCATTTAAAAATAAAGAGAAGCAAATTGTTGCATTACTGGATATTTAAGATACAGGAATTATTGTGACTGTTTTAAATGATTTGTTTGTGATATACTTGTATTTTCAATTTTAATACAATTTGTTGTAAATAGATTTTAGACCTGAATGGAAATTTAAGCATATTATATTGTTCTCAGAGTGTTTAAGACTAGTTTTAGATTTACCGGTATACAGATATAATTATTTCGCAAGTATGTAAATTCTCTTGTTATTTTGCAATCATGAAAGATTTTTATCATGTTTAAGATTGTATTGAGTGCATTATTGTACTTGACCATGTGCCATAGTAAGTAAGCATTTTACATGATGTTTTAATAAACTTTTAGATGAGCATATTAGTGTTTTTTTCATTTGACAAAAGTTTAAACATTTATAGTTAAATATTCTTGAAATGTGATATCCCTCAAGAGCAATGAAATAAAATAAAAGCAGATACATGTAGATGGGAATCTCACACTTTGTTTGATTTGAATCTTGCTATGAGAAATAGTGTCAAGTACTGCAACATCATAGACCATCTTAGGGGAAGCGTTTATGTCAAAAAGTAGTAATTCTGACTACATGCACTGATTGTTTTGTTTGTTTGTTTCATTTTACGCCTTTTCCCTACAGTATTTCAGTCATATAGGCGGGAAGTTTCCTAACCATCGTTTCTGGAGAGTTACACCAGTACTAGATTACCTTCCTCCGTGCTAAACTACCAAAGCATCTCCCGGGGATCGAACCCACGCCAGAGAGGTAACTGGATAAGAAGTCATCGACACTAACCCCTCAACCACAGAGGCGGTTACATGTACTCATTAAACCTGTGGCCGCTTGTAATTGGTATTGAAATTATCTCATTATATTTTGTTGCAATTTGGTTTCAAAATTTAGGTAACACTAACACTATTAAGGTCATATGGCAACTTTCCACTTTTCCTGGTGGAAATAGACCTGGAGGGCCCCTAGATGAATTATTTTAGATTCCAGTACAAGCGGGCACCTGAGTTAACCACCAATTTTTCAGTAAGCTCACTGGATAACTTCCTCACATGAATTAATCCGAAGTCTTTTTAGCAAGATTCAAACTCACAACAGTGAGGGACCAGTGACTTAAAACCTGCAACTTTAATCACTTGACAACAGAAACATCTGTCTGACTAACATTTATCACAGTTAAATGATTTTCTAAATAAACCGTTTAAAGTTATATCTAATGAATTTTTTTTTATAAAATTTATAAATGATACAACAATGTTGTTCCCATAATCTTCAGGTTGGTTCTTGAATTTAAGTTGTAACATAGAATGTCTCTGTTACGGGGGATGATTAAAAAATAAACCGGGCTGTGACTGTCAATTAAAGAATTTCCAACAGATGAATGACCCAGATTGAATGGTGATGTAATTTATTCATCATTTTTTTAGTTCATTGATAATATATCTGAACAATATGAGTAGTCCATGTTTAAGAAGTCCTTACAATCTCTTATTTTTGGCAGCATATGTTGTATTTGCGACAATGAATAGCCAAAATCAGAAGGAATAGATGGCTTCAACAACTTTTCTCATATCTAGAAATTTATTGTTATAAAGGTAAAATTTTATTTCAGATATGAAACCCTATGTTTGTGAGCAGTGTGGAAAAAAGTTTAAACGAGGGGATTCATTGACAGCTCATAAAAAATACCATACAGAAGATAAACCCTACTCTTGTCCAGAGTGCCACAAAACTTTTAAAGTAAAACGAGATATGAAAAAACACTTCAGAGTTCATCTCCCGCCAAAATTTTCCTGCTCAGTTTGTGGAAAATCATTCGTTCAGAAGTACAACATGAGAGTTCATATGAAAATACATGGAGATGTTTCCTGACAACGTAAATAAGATTGAATACTGACCAGTTTATTGTGTCAATTTTCTTTCTGTTCACAGAGTCTCTATTTGTTGACTAATATCTTTGATAATTTTAGTACATTACTCTCGGTTTATCATAGAGTCTTTATTTGTTGACTAATATCATTGATAATTTTGGTACATTACGCTCGGTTTATCATAGAGTCTTTATTTGTTGACTAACATCTTTGATAATTTTGGTACATTACACTCGGTTTATCATAGAGTCTTTATTTGTTGACTAATATCTTTGATAATTTTGGTACATTGCATTTAAGTTACCTTACATGTACATCTACATGTCCCATTCAGAGGGATACAAGTTTAATGGGGTGAAGAGGTCACTAGAGATTTTTTTTGAATTTTTCTTTTACATCTAGGGGTGTTATGTTTACAAGTTGTGTCAGCTCAGCATTATAGGTATTTACTAAGCTAATGGTTAATTTCTCCAAGATATCGCGTATATATGACACACAATTTTTTTATTGATTCGTTTAGCTCAAAACATTTAATTTAATCTTGTAAAACTGCCAGTAATAATCATCAGAAAATATTTAACCATTTTAACATGTCTTTCTTTAGGGATTCTGTATTTATCTATTTCAATAAAGAGTGGAAATCTACCTAACTCACTATAGAGAGATAGAGTATGTGTAGATTGCTTAGCATTTAGTATCCATTTACAAAATGTCTTATGTACTCTTTCTGTAACCTCTGAATTTATAAAACCCCATACCTCTGCGCCATAATTTAAAACAGAAAGTACATACAAATCAAAAAGATTAAACGTTATATTTATTGTAACTTTCATACTACGAACAATAGCCCAGAAAGAATGTAGAGATCGCAACCCTTTCCCGGCTTATGTGTTTGGCTGCTTGCATAAAAGACCCTCCGCTGGAGAATACAACCCCTAGGAAATTGAAGACTTGACTATTTCTATTTTATGATTATTATGATTCCATTTGTCGTTTCTTCTTAACTTCCCCCCTTTCCTAAACACTACAACTTTAGTTTTTCTATGTTGACTGTAAGGTTCCATTTACAACAATAAGAATATAAACTATCTAGTGATTTTGCAACCCAGTACTTGTTTGGAGACGATTACCGCGTCATCAGCGAATAGGAGCAGATATATCGCAATTTGATCAATATTTATTCCAGCGTCAATATTTTCCTGTAATTGCATTTCTATATCATTTAAATATAAAGAGAAGCAAATTGTTGCATTACTGGATATTAGGATACAGGAGTTATTGTGACTGTTTTAAATGATTTGTGTGTGAGATACATGTATTTTAAATTTTAATACAATTTGTTGTAAATAAATTTTAGACTTGAATGGAAATTTTAGCATATTATATTGTAATAATAGTTTTAGATTTTAATTATACAGATATAATTAATTCACAGGTACGTAATTTCACTTGTTATTTTGCAATCATGAAAGATTTTTATCATGTTTAAGATTGTATTGAGTGCATTATTGTACTTGACCATGTGCCATAGTAAGTAGGCATTTTACATGATGCTTTAATAAACTTTTAGATAAGCATATTAGTGTTTTCTTTCATTTGACAAAAGTTTAAACATTGATAGTTAAATATTCTTGAAATGTGATATCCCTCAAGAGCAATGAAATAAAATAAAAGCAGGTACATGTAGATGGGAATCTCACACTTTGTTTGACTTGAATCTTGCTATGAGAAATAGTGTCAAGTACTGCAACATCATAAACCGTTTATGTCAAAAAGTAGTTATTCTGACTACATGCACTGATTGTTTTGTTTGTTTGTTTCATTTTACGCCTTTTCCCAACAGTATTTCAGTCATATAGGCGGGAAGTTTCCTAACCATCGTTTCTGGAGAGTTACACCAGTACTAAATTATCTTCCTCCGCGCTAAACTATCAAAGCATCTCCCGGGGATCGAACCCACGCCAGAGAGGTAACTGGATAAGAAGTCATCGACTCTAATCCCGGTTACATGTACTGATTAAACATGTGGCCGACTGTAATTGGTATTGAAATTATCTCATTATATTGTGTTGCCATTTGGTTTCAAAATTTAGGTAACACTAACGCTATTAAGGTTTTATGGCAACTCTCCACTTTTCCTGGTGGAGATAGACCTGGAGAGCCCCTAAATGAATTATTTTAGATTCGGTACAAGCGGGCACCTGAGTAAACCACCAATCTTTCAGTAAGCTCACTGGATAACTTCCTCACATGAATTAATCCGAAGTCTTTTTAGCAAGATTCCAACTCACAACAGTGAGGGACCAGTGTCTTAAAACCTGCAACTTTAATCACTTGACAACAGAAACATCTGTCTGACTAACATTTATCACAGTTAAATGATTTTCTAAATAAACTCTTTAAAGTTATATGTAATGAATTTTTTTTTTATAAAATTTATAAATGATACAACAATGTTGTTCCCATAATCTTCAGGTTGGTTCTTGAATTTAAGTTGTAACATAGAATGTCTCTGTTACGGGGGATGATTAAAAAATAAACCGGGCTGTGACTGTCAATTAAAGAATTTCCAACAGATGAATGACCTAGATTGAATGGCGATGTAATTTATTCATCATTTTTTAGTTCATTGATAATATATCTGAACAATATGAGTAGTCCATTTTTAAGAAGTCCTTACAATTTCTTATGTTTATGTGGCAGCATATTTTGTATTTGCGGCAATAAATAGCCAAAATCAGAAGGAATAGATGGCTTCAACAACTTTTCTCATATCTAGAAATTTATTGTTATAAAGGTAAAATCTTTTTCAGATATGAAACCCTTTGCTTGTGAGCAGTGTGGAAAAAAGTTTAAACGAGGGGATTCATTGACAACTCATAAAAAATACCATACAGAAGATAAACCCTACTCTTGTCCAGAGTGCCACAAAACGTTTAAAGTAAAACGAGATATGAAAAAACACTTCAGAGTTCATCTCCCGCCAAAATTTTCCTGCTCAGTTTGTGGAAAATCATTCGTTCAGAAGTACAACATGAGAGTTCATATGAAAATACATGGAAATGTTTCCTGACAACGTAAATAAGATTGAATACTGACCAGTTTATTGTGCCAATTTTCTTTCTGTTCACAGAGTCTTTATTTGTTGACTAATATCTTTGATAATTTTAGTACATTACTCTCGGTTTATCATAGAGTCTTTATTTGATGACTAATATCTTTGATAATTTTGGTACATTACACTCTGTTTATCATCGAGTCTTTATTTGTTGACTAATATCTTCGATAATTTTGGTACATTACATTTAAGTAACCTTACATGTACATCTACATGTACCATTCAGAGGGATACTAGTTTAATGGGGTGAAGAGGTCACTAGAGATTTTTTTTGAATTTTTCTTTTACATCTAGGGGTGTTATGTTTACAAGTTGTGTCAGCTCAGCATTATAGGTACTTACTAACCTAATGGTTAATTTCTCCAAGATATCGCGTATATATGACACACAATTTTTGTATTGATTCGTTTAGCTCAAAACATTTAATTTGATCTTGTAAAACTGCCAGTATTAATCATCAGAAAATATTTAACCATTTTAACATTTCTTTCAATAAAGAGTGGAAATCTACCTAACTCACTATAGAGAGCTAGATTGCTTAACATTTAGTATCCATTTACAAAATTTCTTATGTACTTTTTCTATAACCTCTGAATTTATATAACCCCATACCTCTGCGCCATAATTTAAAACAGAGAGTACATACAAATCAAAAAGATTAAACGTTATATTTATTGTAACTGTCATACTACGAACAATAGCCCACAAAGAATGTAGAGATCGCAACCCTTTCCCGTTTAATGTGTTTTGCTGCTTGTATAAAAGACTGGAGAATACAACCCCTAGGAAATTTAAGACTTTACTATTTCTATTTTATGATTATTATAATACCATTTGTCGTTTCTTCTTAACTTCCCCCCTTTCCTAAACACTACAACTTTAGTTTTTCTATGTTGACTGTAAGGTTCCATTTACAACAATAAGAATATAAACTATCTAGTGATTTTGCAACCCAGTACTTGTTTGGAGACGATTACCGCGTCATCAGCGAATAGGAGCAGATATATCTAAATTTAATCAATATTTATTCCAGCGTCAATATTTTTCTGTAATTGCATTTCTATATCATTTAAATATAAAGAGAATCAAATTGTTGCATTACTAGATATTTAGGATACAGGAATTTTTGTGACTGTTTTAAATGATTTGTGTGTGATATACATGTATTTTAAATTTTAATACAATTTGTTGTAAATAAATTTTAGACTTGAATGGAAATTTTAGCATATTATATTGTAATAATAGTTTTAGATTTTAATTATACAGATATAATTAATTCACAGGTACGTAAATTCACTTGTTATTTTGCAATCATGAAAGATTTTTATCATGTTTAAGATTGTATTGAGTGCATTATTGTACTTGACCATGTGCCATAGTAAGTAGGCATTTTACATGATGTTTAATAAACTTTTAGATGAACATATTTGTGTTTTCTTTGATTTGTAAATGTTTGAACATTTATAGTTAAATATTCTTGAAATGTGATATCCCTCAAGAGCAATGAAATAAAATAAAAGCAGATACATGTAGATGGGAATCTCACACTTTGTTTGATTTGACTCTTGCTATGAGAAATAGTGTCAAGTACTGCAACATCATAAACCATCTTAGGTGAAGCGTTTATGTCAACAAGTAGTAATTCTGACTACATGTACTTATTAAACGTGGCCTGTAATTGGTAAGGTAACAAATTATCTCATTATTTTGTTGTTGCTTGGTTACAAGATTGACTGTTATAATAGTGATTGACCAACAGTTGATATTGGAAAATGTCTAGGATAAAATGTTTAATCTGCCTAAAACATAAAAGACACTCTTTTAATAACTTAAACATTACAGGTAAATTTCAGTGGGTATTTATAGAAATTTCCTTGGGTCGGATGAGTTATTTATCTTTAATGTGAAGTAAATTATAAATTGAAAGGGATAGTTGGCAAAATGCAAACTATAATTTTGACTTCCACCTTTTCACTCACTATATACCCTTGGATGGGCATGTCAATAACTATTGAACCTAAATAAAATGTTACTAAAATGCGTTTTGCAACAATAACAACAATTTAGTTAATTTATAAAGATTTTATTCAACATTTAATAAAAGCTATAAATATTACTAAAATAAGTTCTTCATAAAATTGGACACAAAGAACCAATGACTTGTCATGTGTAAAGTAAAAGATATTTCATATGCATGATATTTCCACAACATAAAAAAGCAACATAACAAATCAAAACAGCGTTTTGTGTAACATAAAAATATATTAAAAACAGTAAGCATATCATTTTCTAGCTAGAGATATATTATCTTGCCTGACATGACCTCATATAGCATAAATCAGCAACAAAACTTAACAACATAATTCACCAACCAAACGACATTTTATAACTTAAAAAATTTGGGAAATTAAAAGAGGGTATCTGTTTTTTTTCAGTGTGATCGGATATATTTTAAACCCGGGGAGCAACAAAAGGTTTTCCCCCGGGCCCCAAGAAAATAAACTTTGTGTGTTCCAAGGGGAAATTATTTCATCTTAACAAAATTAACAAATTTTTCTTTTTAATTATAAAACAAAGAAACATTTAAAAAAAACATGTTTTACAAACTAAATGAAAGGTGCCAAAAAATTTTTACGTGATGTCACTTATTAAATGTTTCCGTACTGTCATCTGGGATTTCACTGAAACAATGTAAAGGCTTAAAAACAAAAACGGTGAAAAAATCAAAAAAATAATTCAAAATTTTTTTTCACAGATAATTTTTACCAAACCCCCGAAAAAAAAATGTAATAAAATAAATATTAAACTTTGCATTTCTTTTTCCCCGGAAATCATCTTTAAGTACAAATTAAGAGTAATTTGAAGGATTTTGGCCTTCCTTAGTTTCTCTTTACCCCTCATAAATGATGCAAAACTATTTAAAAAAACAAAGTTAGAAAAGGGTATTACTGTATTCCCCTATAACTGGATTGAAACCCGAAAATATTTTAAAAGGCAAGATTAAGTATTTAGTTTTGGATAGAAGCTTTTATAAAACAATTTAAGTAAGGTGAAAGAATTTGCTAAACTTGGAAAAAATAATATACATTTCAGGGGAAAATTGCACAGATGATTTTTAAACCTGTGGGTAAGTTGTTTTTGTAAAAATCCCGTAATGAACCCGAAAAAAAAGGGGTTTTTTTATGACTGGGTTTACATTGCACCATCACAGTATAGGTCATATTAGGGCTTTTTCCCCTTCTAAAGCAGGCGGCTTCTCCAAAGAAAAGCTAAATAACATCAAAATTTGTTTTCCTTGGATATTAAGTCATACCAACACTGTAAATGTCATTCTAAGATTCCAGCATTTACTGGTAAAGAAAGTCCTCAGGTACCTCTCCATGCCTCCAGGGACAAGCAGGGAACCGAGTAGAATCACTGATGTTGTGTTGAGGTTTGAGCCTTAAACATAAAAAATTCTTAACAATTAATAATATTTGTAAATCTTTTGATTATATAGAGGATATTGAATGAGTGTAGTTTAATACTAAATTTATTGAAGGAGTTGAATAAAATCATATTATGCGAGCCTCTGGCGAGCATAATATTGTTTTATTCAACGAGTTCAATAAATTTAGTATTGAATCTACACGAATATTATATTCTTTTTATCACATAAATAAAATAAGAACAGTAAACTGTTAAAATGAGTAATTTTTCAATGACGCGTCTAAAGTGTAACACTAACATTAGCGCGCTTTAACGCTATGTTTATATATAGCGCAAATGACGTCACGTCAAAGTGTTATTACACTAGTGTAATATCGTTTTTATTAAATGGCTTTATTACACTTCTGCTCCGCGGATAATGTGATAAAATGCATTATCACATGCTTTATTCAAACCATTCCTTTATTGATTACATAGAGTGTGACCAATAAGACGGACAAAGTAATAACAATATTCCAAGCTTTTTAAACAAAAGTAATGGCAACAATGAACCTATTTATATTTAAACAACAGTTCAAGGGAGATAATACAGTGTATTGTTTCAAGGGAGATAATACACAGTGTATTTACACGTCAATGCATTATATAGTATAAATCTCAAATATAACCAATCAAATCATCTGAATGTAAAGTGATTTCACTGTCCACTTCAGTCAGTCACATATGATTTGCTTGATTCTGATATGAGGATAGTTGAAGCATTGTTAGACTGGTTTATCTCAGGTCTGTTTACCAAATGATAGGAACATGTCATCCTGTAGGCTCGACAGAAAATCTCTGAAATAAATCAAATAAAACATAGTAATGTTAATGTCAGATTTCAGTGTCCATGAATATAAATTGTACATGTATTTTATCATGACATTTCTGTGTACTGAATGAACTCGACAATCATAATTTCATAACTCATATTCAATTCTTTGTAAAATAGTTGAATTAAACTAACATATTGACACTTTAAAATTATAACAATTCCCCCCACCCACCAAAATAAAGGTCACTTGGCAACTTTCCTGCTTGCACAGGAAAAGGCAGACCCCCAATGATGACCTTTCATGAATTATTATAGGCACATGTGAAGATCACAATAAAACTCCTATCCTTTTAAGTAGTGAGGGGCAAAAGATTCAAAATCAACAACATTTACAATATGATAATAGAGGCCCAATACATGATATTTATGTTTAACATGTTAATCTTACAAAGTAAAATTTTGTCTTTCACTGGATGATAAGAGATTATGCCTTTGTTGGGTGTTTTTTTATTTATTCCAGCTTGATACAAATGCAACTTAAACAAAATTCTTCAATGGAAAGGTTATTTATATGAAAGATATGACCTAAATTTAGTTAAGTTTTAGTTTATACAAATTTATTTTAGTTTGATTGTGTTGGAAGCTATAAGCTTATTGAAACACTCTTGATTCCTGCCTGCAACCAATCAGTACAAAGCGATAAATGTAAAATATTTTGCTCAAGGAAACAACGGCTTGCACCTGACAGGGTTTTAACCCCACAAGGTCAGTTATCCTTTGATTACTAGTCTGACATGTTAACCTTGCGTCCACGCTCAAATTTTGAACTGAAATATAAAGCATGTTACCCCAGATCTTCCTTCTTGTTTTGTGGAGCTGGTTGTGACATAACGTCAGGTTGTGGAGATACAGATGTAACTTGCCCTGTAACCATAGCAACATAATTACATTTGTTGACATACAATACTTTATGTTATTCTCATATATATCATCAACAACTTAAGCACTATAGCACCTGACATTCCTCGATATCAAAACAAGTGCTATGTTTACATAGCAACAAAAAAGTGTTTTCAATATCTTTTGTTAACAAAGCATTTACATTTTCAAGTATTTTTATTTATTGTTTTGAGAAAGTAATAATTGGAATAAAATTATTGCTCAAAAATAATGCTGTTTAAACTAAAGCAAGCTATCTAAAATATATAAAACATTGTACCTATTCTAATAGAGTTACTTAATTTTCTGGAATTTAATAGTTTTTTTCTAATTTCTGCTGTTTTACATCTTTTATGATGAATTGAAATTAATACAAAGTCAAAAATTTTACAATAGTATGTTATCATGCTTTTTACCACTGATTTTTCTACTTAATAGTACTCAACAGATTTCATTTCTTGAATATTTTTCTAGAAAGATTTTTTCTGCCTGTTAATTTCTGTTTAGTCAATTTCTTGTTCAAGATCTGGCCCCATGTTCACAAAGATTTAAGGATCAGGATCAAGATCAGGATCAAATTTAAAAACTCAAATATTCTCCATGGTTTATCCTCATAGATTAAATATTGATTATCAACTTGATAAAATTGGACATTTTCAAGTATTTTTATTTATTGTTTTGAGAAAGTTATAATTGGGAATTGTACTAATGTGATTTATTTAACTTGATATTAAAAAAAATATAAATATATTAAATATATAATATATTTAAATTGTACCAGTTCATGTTAAATGTTGAATTCTGCTTAAGCCGGTGCTAGGGGGCGTGGACGGTAACTTGCACTTTTCATTACCGTCCATGAACAGGCTCAATCAAACCGAGCCTGCAACATTTTCAATTTTGTCTTGTTTGGCTTTCTTTAGGGATTCTTATTTTCTCTATTTGAAATAGCATGTGTATGATTTTTTAGAAAAATTTTATTGTAATTTTTGCAAGATACGGGCATTTTATAGTTGATCCAAATATTGATCTTGATCCTTAAATTGATCCTTATTTTGATCAGATTATTTCTGATTTGTTTTGTTATTTGTCAATTTTATCCTAAAATAGGTTTGTTTCTTTGCAAATCAGCAATTTTTTACATTTTGAATAAGAACTGTTTAATTCTAGCAAAATACAATCAATTTTGGTTCAATAAACCAATGAAAAAATCAAGATCATTTGATCTTGATCTTTTCTTAGTGAACACGGGGCTGGGTCACTTCTATCACAAACGCACCTCCAAAAATACTTGCAACAACTGGCTGTTTCACAGGCTTATCTTTCTTTGATCCCATCTGTTTAGTTGACTCTTCTAACATCCTAGATATATTGTCCATCTGTCTGTCATACCTGGATTTTGACGGGGCGTAATTCACACTTGCCTTAGTGTCATTGTTTGAACCATTCTGTTCTTCTTCTTGATTAAAACTTAATCTTTTAGTCTCTACCAGTTCTTTAGCACTCATTTCATTTTTAACACCATGAGTTTTTAAGTCAATATCATCAAAACTTGTGGTCATCAGGTATTGTACTGCAGCTTTAAATGTCACCATACAATAACTGAAAAATGTTTTCAACATCAATGCTTTAATATATATAATTTACATTGCTCTGAAGACAGAAAGTCAATGTCATTTCTAAAATATCAGGTAAACAAAAACACATAAATACAGAATAACAAAATTCTACACTGTGTGTGCAATATATTAATTAAATGATATTGAATAAGAGCACACTATGTTATAGCATAGTTCAAGTTTAGATGCACACTTCAGAAAGATGTAACTTTTTATGCTACATATAATGACAAATCTTGCAAAACTATAAAGTATAATGATAATACAAGAAAATTTAACTATTAACTATTTGATTTTTATATGCTCATACAAAAAGAATAAAAGAAACTGCATTGGTCAGAAACTTAAATGACATCAATATTTTATTCTTTGTCAATGTATCTGACATGTCAATACTTCCCAAACATTATTAATTTATCAATGTTCACACTGTACACCCATTAACAGACAAACAAAAAAAATCTTTCAATTTGAGGGATGGGGCACGGGTGTTTGTTGGGGGGGGGGGGGGAGAGTTGTCAGATGGCGGTCATAAAAATTTATATGACAAAGAAATAATCAAATCGTAAGAAGTTCGTCATAATACATAATATTAACTATCCAAAATCCTACAATTTAATTTTTTTCTAGTTGTTAAAGAATGAAATTACCTTAAAGTATCTTTGTCCCTATATGCAGCTGACCAGTAGAAATTGTCCATGTAGAATAAATCACTGTGTATATGATTACATTTTGCTTGTATTATCACTGTTACCTGTAAATCAATCAATCAATCAATCAATCTCAATCAATCAATCTCAATCATATAAATTAATAAATAAGTTAATCAATTAGTTGATTAATCAAATAATAAACAAATTAATAAAAGCATTTGTGTAAATATAAAAGCATAAGTGAGAAAAAAAGAACAAAAACAAAATACACATAAAAGTAAAATTAAGATAACAATTTTACATTCAAGTATTGGTTGCTGAATTATAAACTTAAGTTATTAAAAAGAAGTAAAGTTAATCACCGCCACGGTTTAAACATTATTGTACTTTGCTAACTTTCAAAGATACGAAAGACTTAAGGAATATCACACATTTCCAATTTCAAGTGTGATTATAAGCTTCTAGCTTCCCACACAAACTAAAATTAACTAAATATAACTTAAGTTTTATCTCACCAATATAGGAAGAAGCTCATCTGAAGTTAAACATGGCATATCTGAAATAAAATCACAATATAATGTGAGATGGAGCTGAAATTTGCAGTGAACAATATTTTACTACCATATTTAGTACATGTACTTTACTGTTGACACCAACTTTAAGATTTTATCTTTAATCCCCAATTATGTGCTGTTCTTAAAATCCATTTAAGAGATTTTGCAAAATTTGTAATATAAAACCTGGTACATTTATGCTCATATTTGCCAAATAAATTTGACCATATGATTTTCCTGGGAAAGGTTCAACTGATTTCGCTATGAATATTCATTATTCTAAAAATGCCCAGCGTGAAATCTGCACAAAGGATTAAACTTTTTGCTGATATTACTTCTGTTTTTTTTCCATTTTATAGCAGCAAATGTTCCTGCTAGTCTGACTCATTTACCCAAACAACAGACCATATAATGATATACTCTACTCAAGAAGAATTAGATTTACTGTAAACTAATGTGTCAAGGGAGGCAACTTACCTTCTTCTTGTACTCCTAGAGGTTGTGAAGCTTTTATATTCTTGTTAATATCTTCTGTTATATTATCCTAATTTGTAAATAAAGTTTTATATTAAACTCTGTTACACTTAAGTGGAATAGTTACTCTAAGATAATTTGCAGTTTTGCATTCCTATCCAAACACCTACACATTATCAAATTCAAAATTAATATTGAATTAATCTTCATTCTTAAAATTCATAATGACATACCGATTGTCTAGCATATAGTAAAAATTCACAATGATATGAAGTTTTTAAAGTCTAAATCACTTATGACATTACTTAATTGATTGCTTAATGTGTGAATTAACATGTATGTGTTTGAACCCTTATCTGTTGATATTAGGGCTATAGGTGTAATGTAGAAAAAAAGGAGTTGACCACCTCTACAGGCATGTATATACAGATTAATAAAGAATGCAACTTAAAATTCAAATTTAAATCAAATACCTTTAACTTATATGGTTCTCAACAATAATATAGATTTCAATTAATAACTGTATCACCTATGTGAATGGTAAATTTAGTAAATACATGAAATATAAAGGTAGTATAGTTACTATTGTAGTTTTCAGACAATACATTTTTTCAACAGGTGTTACTAAACCATCAAGGTGAGCTAACTCAACAACCTGAAAACAAGAACATACTTCTCATGAATGTTGCTACCTGTAACAACTGAGCAACAAAAACCCGGCTGACATGTTTAACATGAAATAACAGACACTGTCATATATACCCCTCCTATAAATTGTAATATACCTTTTGCCATAATGTATACTATGCAGCAATAATAACTACACAGTTCTTGAAGGATCAACAAAATATGGCCAACTAATATTTACAACTTCGAAAATTATGTCTATATTTCAGACTCAAATTGTAAATGAAAAAGGGGCATTATTTTTGTAATACAAATCTGTACCAACATAAAGTATTAGCAATACTTAAGGTAAATGCAAATAATATTTGAAACTTTGATGCATACAATAAACAATGCTTTATTTAAAATTCAAAACATCTCTAGTCTATTATATCCATGTATATATAGCCAGATATGGGTAAAAATTGATGAAGAAACAAAAGAATGAACAGCTGATTGATTTATAGACTTACAGCAGATGTGACAGGACAACAGAAGTGTTTGGGTACTCCAAGATGTTCAGGTGTTAGACCACTAAGATTTCTGCACTTTGTCAACATTCTTCTATCCTCGTCAGTACATTTTGAACACACAATTGGGTATAACTTCTGATGAACACTTCCTAGTACACATCTATAACAAATGATATAATGATACTTCTATTTCTCAGCTTTCTGTCATACTGCCTGGGCTATTTATAATACAATGTATTAATTTTACTACAATATAGATTCTAAATCTGATGAGGGTATTGTAAAAACATAGAAATAGTTCTGATTAACTTTAATCAACATAATCAGTATCTAAAAAAATTTGTTCTCCCCTCCTCTTTTTACTTGACAAGTATCATTTTACATGTACCCCTGACCGCCTCCGTGGTCGAGGGGTTAGAGTCGATGACTTCTAATCCAGTTACCTCTCTGGCGTGGGTTCGATCCCCGGGAGATGCTTTGGTAGTTTAGCGCGGAGGAAGGTAGTCTAGTACTGGTGTAACTCTCCAGGAACGATGGTTAGGAAACTACCCGCCTATATGACTGAGATACTGTTGAAAATGGCGTAAAATGAAACAAACAAACAAACAAACATGTACCCCTGCAAACATTGCAACATTTGTGCCAGAGACCTAACTCTAACCTTGAATAACTACCACATGGATATCAAGAATATATGGTTCCTAGTGCTCTCAATATAAGGTTAACAATAACCACTTCCCAGAAATAAATCAGCCAAACTATACATGAGTATAGAAACCTTCCTTCCTTCTAAGTTTTAAGAACATTCAATTAAACTCTTGAAAAAAAAAATGCTTTACAAAATCATACATCTTAGAGCACTTCTGACAGAATGTTTCTTTGTCAAAAGCAGTACATATTGGTAAATATTTGTAATACCCATCAAAGAAACAATCAAATAATCTTAGATTAACTTACATTTCAACAGCAGCAGTTACAATGTCTTTGAACTTTTGGTCCGTTAATTTTCTATCTTTAACACTCTTGATACATTTCTACAAATTTAATTTTTATAATCACTAGTATAAAAGTGATAAATTAATCTGGCTAAATAATTGTTTTCCATATTAAGGATGTTTTTGGGATTCATATAGACATATAGGCAAAATTAAAACTGTTCTATAGAATCATGTTGTTAGAATATGATAACAAACATTTTAAGCGAAAACAAATTTTTTGAGTTATCTGCCCCTGAATCAGAATTTTCTACTTATTTGAGGTCATTTAAAGGGCAGATAACTTATACATACGTAAATGAATTCTTGTTTTTACTTCTGGATGTTTTTCTTTTTATTGTTGAATACAATACATAATTACATGCAATTCCTTATATTGTTTCTGTTAATTTTTTCAATGAAAATAAAGGTACTTTAAAATAAAAAAAATTGGCAGAAAAAATGCACAGGTTAAGATAAGAAGTGGGGAAAAAAACTATCCACTGTTATCATATTCTAATAACATGCCACGTTTAAAGAAATTCTATTGAACAGTTTTAATTTTGCCTATTTGTCAATATGAAAACTCCGGAAAACGTCTATAAACAGGTAAATTCCTACAAGAACATGTTAAATAGCTTTTATAATTGTTTCAAAGAATTTTTAATAAAATAAAGTAAGTTTCTTTATCTTGGATCTACCTGGTATTATTGGTTCATTGTACACAGTAAAATTTTTCATCTTAACTCAATGTATCACCTCTCTGAATTGCAATCTATCCTAACACAATGGAAATCAAAAACCAACAGCTTTGAGAAGTATGTTATTTAGCACTCTGAACAACTTAACCTTGAATACCTCAAGCTTAGCTATACACTACTCACATCAGAGGTAGTGGTTGCCATGGTTTCCAGTCTGTGTGCTGCCTCAAGTAGATAATCCTTCAATATTATATAACTCTTCATAAACTTCTGTATTTGTTCATCTAGTTCTTTCATTTGCTAAAATATATAACATTATGAAATAATATAGATAATAATATAGAAATACAAGACATAGCATAGATACATGAAGATTAGGATGTAAGTTGTATCCCTACTACATCAACTACTCACTACTGTACATTTAGAATTGACAAAAGACTTTAAACTTTTTACCATACTGAAGTTAAGTACCAGATGATACTTTTTGAATGGATACATTGGCCTCAAATTACCCATATAAAAAAAAAAATAAACATATAGAGGGTTATACAGATAAGTATTGTAACCCATATTTACAACTGAAAATGTAAAACTTATCACTTGTACGTAACAGTTAGATATGCCAAAAAACATGAATCATGGTTGTTTCTACTTCTTTAGATCTAATCTATTTCATTAAAAAGCAATCTAGAACATAGTTTATTATTTTCAAATCATATTTAAATTCTATGAAAATTATTAGAAAGAATAGCTTACTAAAAGTGTCAGGGATAACCTTATTCTTTATATGACTATCATATCTTAAAACTGTTAACAGGTACAAGATTCATTTCTTTTGATAACATTTCCCCCAATTAATTAGCCACTCACTTTTGAAACTTCTGGTATAGATTTCAGGTAATCTCTGCACCTAAAAGAATAAATTTAACATATTTATAAATATTTTGACACTGTAAATAGCATGGCATTTATTTAGATTTATTCAACAATTTGATAGTAGTAAAAACAAGTTTACATGCAATTACTACAAAATATATCAATTTAACTCAATGTTTCATTTTAATAAGGAAAGTTGTAGAATGTGAGAACAAAGATAAACTGGGTATATCAGCAGGATGGCATGTTTACAAAATGTAAAAACAGCTGAGATTCTTTGGTATCTTTAAATCATGGTAGTTAATTGCCTGTTACAAATTTGTACAAAACGGAAAAAAATCAGAAATAATCTATATTTGGCTAAAGATGTTGGTCATGATTAAGTTTTTTCGTTTGTTTCTTTCTTATTGTGGTTGGGTTTCACGTCACACCAACACTGTAAAGGTCATATGGCGACTTTCCAGATTTACTGCTGGAGGAAGACCTCAGGTGCCCCTTTGTGCATTATTTCAGGCACAAACATACACCTTGAGTAGAACCACTGACATTCCACAAGCAAACTGGACAGCTTCCTCACATGAAAGAAATTAAAACCCCTTGCAGGATACAAACACACAGCAGCGAAGGGCAAGCGATTTTAAGTCAACGACCCTAACTATTTGGCCTCTGGCAACCCTATGATGATAAAGAAAATGATGAGAATAAAATTCATAATGAGGTAAAATCCACTTTTATAGAATCTGCATGATGTAATTAATAATTAAAATATATATGACATAACTCACTCCTTTAAAGAACATTTCACGTTAAATTCTCCAGAACTTGAAGTAGTTTCTATTTTGCTTTGTCTCTGTTAAAATAAATCATATTTCACATTTAATATGTGTGAACCATTCATATACATTTATCAGATAAAATACAAATTTCATTAAATAGATGGCTCATCAGTTTGATATAATGTTTGATGTTTACATTGTAAATAAGAAGTTATGTTTAAAATGCATATCTTTCAAACAATCTAATTCTCTTAAGATAAAAAACTTATCATTTCCAAAAAATAAAGAACTATTTGCCTCATCTATCATTCTATGAAGTGGTGTCTGCCAAATTCTCTGATGCTACCTTTTTGCTAAACAAACTAAAGATTTGAACAATTTTGCTGTAAAATTAATCTGTTGTTTTATTTTAAATTTTTTAATTTAATATATCAAACTTGACATATTTGTAAAGCTGATAATCTTGATCAAAGAGAAAATATGTGTGGAAATACTGGCATGGTTACAGATATCTTTTCATGTTGTCTTACCAGAACATTGTGGTCTAATGGACGGGCAATTATCAACATCTTATATGGTTTATATTCCTGTAAGATAAACAAAAAAAACAATGATTATAAAAACTTGCATAGAAGTAATTAGTTCATTGATTTATGCAAGAGTACAGTTGTACTTCTTGAAAAATAAATGGTTATATGCATATTCAATTACGACATTGTGCTTTGATGAGCTTAAAAAGAAAAGTAAATCAAATATGAGAAGGAAGTAGGACTGACTTCCCAGTCCTTCACATTTAATCTGAGATAGAAAGTAAGTATACCTTATTATATCCTAGTTCTTCACATTTTAACTATCACAGGAAGTAAACATACCTTATTATATCCTAGTTCTTCACATTTAATCTAAGACAGGAAGTAAACATACCTTATTATATCCTAGTTCTTCACATATAATCTAAGACAGGAAGTAAACATACCTTATTATATCCTAGTTCTTCACATTTAATCTAAGACAGGAAGTAAACATACCTTATTATATCCTAGTTCTTCACATATAATCTAAGACAGGAAGTAAACATACCTTATTATATCCTAGTTCTTCACATTTAATCTAAGACAGGAAGTAAACATACCTTATTATATCCTAGTTCTTCACATATAATCTAAGACAGGAAGTAAACATACCTTATTATATCCTAGTTCTTCACATATAATCTAAGACAGGAAGTAAACATACCTTATTATATCCTAGTTCTTCACATATAATCTTGATCTTTGTCTTTGTTGGAAAACCTAATAAAAGATATCGTCATTAATTTATCCAGCCCTAGCAGCCATAAAAACTTAGTATACTAACTGATTTGCCTGATTTTGTCTTATAGTCTGACCAAGATCTCTACTGCTGACTGCTTAAACTTAGGATTCAGATAATATAATCACATTCACAGTGAGTTCCAGATTCAAAGCAGAGCATGTTGGTTAAAATTCTTCATTTACTGAAGTATGAATAATTAAGGAACTCGCTTAAGGAAACTTTAACTATAAATTGTCTTACTTAATAAAGAACTATAAATCAGTCAAAACCTAGACTAGAGTTAAAGGTCTTATTTATTATCTCTACTTATAATCTCAATAACATGTATGAAGTTGCAAGCTAAACATCACCAGTGTTACTCTGACCAAGATCAGGTAATAAAATGTCCCACTTATCAAATGTATGGCTGAACCCAGAATAATTCAATACTGACTATAAATCATTATTAACAAAAAAAGATCATAGTACAAAAATTATCTCTAATCTATTTATATACAATACAGTTAAGGCAACACTTTCTAAATTTTGAAAAATCAATCCGACATTATAATTGGAAGAAAATAAAAATGTTTACCTTCCTGACAATAGATATAATCCCCATCATCTTCTATTGTAACTATCTGTTTATCTGATCGAAGTGTTCTGTACTGACTGAAATATTCATTATAAACAATTACATAATAAATACAATAATATCAAAGCTTTGAAGGTGAGGTCAAAAAGCCTAAAAACATGAAACTTGAATTTCTTTCATGCATGTAGATCAACTGGGGCAATTAAAGAAGAAGCATTACAAAAGAAATTAAAGAAATATACTGAGAAATGAATTGAAAGTCACATATGTGTATTTTATTCTTAGCCTGATTTTGGGGTAATTTTTCACAATTTTAAACAATATTTTAGAACAATAGAGTACGCAAATGATCTGAAATTTTGCAAAAAGGCTATCAGTCTAGACCTACAACAAATGGTCTATTAATATCGAAGAAATATTTCCAGTCCCATCATGTTAAAAATTCTCAGTGGAGGTCATTTATTGGCTTTAATTTTTTTTATTGTTATTTAAAGTGTAATACAAAAACTGATGAAAATAAGTGTTAAAAAATTGTACTTTTGATGTACATGTATATGCAAACATACTAAGCATATTAGGATTCCTATTTTTTTGCTACTTACCCTTGAAAGAAAGGTGAAGGTTTTAAAATATGAGTTTCTGAAACAAGAAAATAAAACATAATTATCATCCTATTTTCCTGAAGAATGAAAAATTTCTGGTATTTGATTTTACATTGTTATCCTCCCGCAAATTTGACAAATGGTTACAGCTTATCTTCTGGACAATATCACATTCTATCACATACCCGTGCCGATTTTGCGACTCCGTAAATATGGTATTGCACGGCCGTGCATATATTTTGACGTGACGTCATTAGCGTTATACAAACATACTGTAAAGGCGAGCTAAATGTTAGCGTTATACTGTAGGCGCGTCAATGAAAAATGACTCTTATTTCACTTTAAACGGTATTTATTTTGAGTATGTGATAAATAGAATATTAAATCCGTGTAAGTTCATTACTGAATTTATTGCACTCGTTGAATAAAATAATATTATGCTCACCAGAGGCTCGCATAATATAATTTCATTCAACTTGTGCAATAAATTCAGTATTGAACTTACACTCATTCAATATCCTCTATAAATTTTACAATAATAATAATTGTCACAGTTTAACTTTACACATTAAAGGAATGGTGGTTATATCAATAAGATGTCTGCTTCTTCATGTACGAATTAGGAGTTGCAGGTTTTCAACAAGCCTCTCACATCACCCATCATCATCCAAGGGGAATAGAGAAGACTTTGGGACTTCAAACTGTTGATGAAAACCTTACTCTGCTTGGATAATCTGGGTTATAATTACCTGGTGCATTATCATAAGTAACACTATATCTTAGTACACACTGTAATTTTCCTGGTCCGAGTCAGATACCAATCTTAATATACTGAATGATTAACTAAGAAGTTTTAAAAATAACTTTAGATAAATTCTATATTCTTTTATGTTAAAACTTCTGAAATTAATAATACATGTAAATACCAATGATTTGATCAGAATGTCAATGTTGCTTTCATGTACAATTACTTCTTTCATCTCACAAAACATAACAACTACATGTATCTAAGTGAACCATTAATAGATTATTTAATATTTATAGATACATGTATATATTACCTACCAACAAATTTGTCTGTTATTCTTACACCATGCAGACATTCTGATTGTGGTAAACATATCAAGTTACGTTCTTCTTGTGCCTTTTCATAACATGATAAATATTTACTCTGAAAAAATAATTTATTTTTCACATTTTCATATTCAATTTTTAACATCTCTAATTTTATAAGTTGTCATTTTACATATACATGTAATATATAATAAAGAAACAAAGTACAGGACATTTTCACCCTATCACCACCGGCCATACATGTGAACTTTTTTAGATGATCATTTAGTCAGAGATTTTTCTTCAAAGAGAGGGAGATTTTAGAATTTGCAATAAACAAAGAAGAAAGTTCTGACATCAAAGAGGAAGATTTCTTTAATTTGTGAAAATACCCCTTATTTTCAGAAAAATCTTTAAAAATATGGCTGCAGAAAGTGGTGGTCTCCTGCTAAAAGTGGGAGAGTTCACAATTTGTATGCCACCCGCCAAAAAAAAAGGTTCCATTCCCAATCCAAAATAGCCTCTTTTTTTGCCACTTTCAAAAAATAAATTGCCAACAGCAGCCAAAAAATCTTACTGCTCTTTATTCCGAGTAAAAAATGCACATTTTTTACTTGTTTCATATAAAAAGCTGACACTTGTTATGTGATCTGAGCATACACATGTTAAAAACTAAAAAGATATTCCTTTGATATATAACCATGTTTTTCCCAATCCAAAGTGGCCCTATATTTTTCCTACTTTCAAAAAATAAATTGCCAACAGCAGCCAAAACATCAAACTGCTTCTAATTTCTAGAAAAAATTACTTTTTTACTTGTTCATTATAAAAAAGTGACAGGTTGTCTGATCATAAAAATGTTAAAAATCAAAAAGTTAAAAGTAGTTTATTCACTAATCCATAGTTTGTCCTATTATTTTTCTCCCATGGATTGAGGCCATATGTTTTAATAATTTCAAATGAACAAGAGTAAAATGGATTAATTATTAATAAGGTATAAAAGCTTTTAAAGTACTTATGGCCTGTTGAAATGTGTTCAATTCAAGAAATTACTGCATTGTAATAACTAATATTCAATGGTTTGGAGTGTGAGATGATACACAAAAATAAACAAAAACATTTACTTTCAGATGATACCAAATTTATCATGTACTATCACAGACACTTGGGGTTTGGAGCTCAAAACGCCTTTAAAATCCAAATAAATTGTATTATTATAGATGTTGAAATATGAAATTTTTTCAAAACGACTTATATTAAGTTTTTTTGATATATATGATCAGTACATGTGCTGGGATTGACAAATATGCATTTTATTTGGATTTTAAAGGCGTTTTGAGCTCCAAACCCCAAGTGTCTGTGGTACTATTTGTTTTTTCATAATGTCACAATTCAGACCTGTTCACTTATAATTAGGGGAGAAGATGTGTCAGCGGCCGGATAGCTCGGTAGGTAGTCGCGGAACCGTATTCCGAGGGTCCCATGTTCGATTCCCGGTCAGACTGCACATTTTTCTCACCCTGTGACATTTGGCCCCCAAGAGGCAACCAACAACAACTCAGCCAGCTGACTTGTAAGAAATCTGTGTACCAGAACAGCTTCTTTCCGGCCACCATCATCCTCTGGAATCGCCTACCCATACAAGTTGTTGAGAAACCATTGGAGGGGTTCAAGTCGGCGCTGACAAAACACACAACCACCAACTAGACACATTGCCAGTTTTTACCAGATTTTAAAAAGATGTAAATAGCCAATTTTTAACTGTAAAGAGGAAACCAATCGCTGCGCATGTACATAGTTTTAGTTTCATCGCGATTATGCTCTATGAAGAGTGAGGCGATTACTGAAGATGATGATGAATGGGGGACCGTGACTGGATATAGCTCAGAGTCTAATTTACATTGCTCTGTAACTCTGTGAAATTTGTGGACAAATTTCAATATTATAATTTATATTACTAAGCACGGGAGTACATGTATGACACGATTCAGAACTGTTCACTTATTAGGGGAGAAGATGTGTCAGCGGCCTGATCGCTCGGTCGGTAGAGCCATGGAAGGGTTTTCCAAGGGTTCCAGGTTTCGAGTCCCAGTCAGGTTGCACATTTTTCTCACCCTGTGACTGTGCATAACAACTTTGAGCTGAGCAAATGGTCTGTTAAAAACTTAATTATGACTAGTCTAGGGAGATTTAAATTGAATATTATCATAATGACAGAAATTTTCAACCAGTGTCACCTGGACTTTTTTTTCTCTTATGGTTCATTGTTCAAAAGATTGTAAATAGTAAACTATATATCTCTACTACAGTCTGAAAAAAATATATAATATAAAAGTCTATCCAAAATAAATACAACCGACTACTAGTACATTAGTGTTAAAATCAGTGTTCACGCGGACTGTTAGTAATGATTCTAACTGAAACGTAGCCTCATGCAATAAGAATGAGGCAAAATCTTTAGTTTTCACGTTAACCTTACTTGTAAAGCTATAAAAAATGGATTTATATCGAGTTCATCTATTTCTGACATTTTGTAGCAGACAGTTGACCTTTGACCATAGTAATCTCAAAACCAAATCAAATAAATAACTTTTTTTCTGATATAGATTTTTATATAAAATAAACCACACTTTTAGATTTAAAAATAATTATTCAATTGACAATGACGATTATATTAGATTCCAAAAAGCGAATGAGCTAAAATTAATGTTTTACTTTGGTTTGGAAACTATTATTATCAAAATGGCGTCATTATGGTAGGAAATTATATTTCTTGTAATAAATTTGTATTTTCTTAATGTTTTGGCGGAATATCTTTTAAAATACTTATCCAGCATAATCCCTAAGTAAAATACTGTAACTTTCAATCAATTATTTTCGAAATATTCAGGTTTAATTACGTTATTTTGATTAAAATGTGGGCATTATGTTTTGTTTCACAAGTTATGAAACTTGAAAATGAAAGAGCTAAAATACAGTCTAAAGTCACTGAATGGTAAGTGTTAAGATGATTGTCTGAGAGTGAGAAACAAAAGTCCAATCTCATAGTATAGATATTAGACCCTTTTCTATAAGATTCACCATGGCCTGGTTGCAATCAAAGGGACCCGACACAGTGTTGGGATAGTGTAAAAAAGTAATTTTTAATGCCAATTTCTATGTTTATGAGAAAAAAAATACAATAATGTAAAAGTTGTCTGTAACATCCGTCCCCGTAACATCCGTCCCCCTATATAAGATGCTTATTAAATCTCACATAAACTGTAACTGGAAAGGGAATTTTACACTAAAACACCAAAGTTACAATGAAAAATGAAGAAAGAACAGAAATAAAGCACTGAAATGATGTATTTATAAAAAAAAATATTATTTGTGAACACGAAATTCCTTAATTTTGAAAAAAAATCAGTATTTTTTGCTCTGATAACAAAATTATTTACTTTGAAATAAAATTTATATTTTATTTCTTAACATCAAGTGGACCTATGAGCTTATTAAGATAATATTTAAGCTTTTATGAATTTATAACAAATATAATCTTTTGTTATTCTGTGTTTACAAACTAAGGGTACAGAAGGGGACGGATGTTACAGAATTGAACTAAAAATTCTTTTTACAGTAATACTAAACTTATCTTGTTCTTATGATGCATGATAGAGAAGTAGTAAGCTTTGCAACTGTATAGGAATGTTTCACACAACAAATAAAATACTATTTTAAAAAAAAACTAGAAGAAACAAACACAAAATCCTTAACAGGATAATTATATAGAAAGAGGTGCCAAAGATAGAGATGGTATCTTTGTGATTAAAATTGGTCAATTGTTAAAACATAAATTCTTTAGCCTTAAATAGTTAACAAACCATGTATCCCAGTCCCTCATAAAACAGTGAGATATGGATCCTAAGAATGTAGGACAAAACCCAACCAGTTAAAACCCCACCACTCAAAATTTTATAGAGTGGACAAAACCCCACCACTACATTTCATAGAGTGGACAAAACCCCACCACTAAATTTTACAGAGTGGACAAAACCCCACCACTTCACTTTTATAGAGTGGACAAAACTTTCTTGTAAACATGTTAAAAAACAAACAATTGTGCATCAGCAGAAACTCAAAATAATGTGTGAACAACTCATCAATATGGAGTTACAGTTTGTAACACTTTTTTGCAATCAAGACATAAATAAATAATCTGTTTTGTCTTCAGGGATTAGGATTAAGTTTTTTGTGTACAGTTTGTAACACCTTTTTTGCATATTGCACATGCAAGATGTACATGCATTGTTAATAAAATTGTTCATTCTTATATTACACAAATGTTATATTGAAATTAAAAAATAAAATGTGAAAAAAATGTCTATATTATATATATTATAATTCATCAAATCTTGCCCAATAAGTGGTGGGATTTTGTCCACTCTGTAAAATTAAGTGGTGGGGTTTTGTCCACTCTATAAAATTTAGTGGTGGGGTTTTGTCCACTCTATAAAATTTTGAGTGGTGGGGTTTTAACTGGTGGGGTTTTGTCCGTCTTCCGGATCCTAACTCTATACACACAGAAGGGGCTTGCACTTTATTGGAAGTTAACGAGCTGTATATTGGGAGCTGTGTATATTGGGACGTGTGATTTTTACAAAACAGTACGGGTTGCCAATTAAGGGTGATATATATTATGCTTAAAACAGTGGGAGGGACTACCATATCTGTTTCAAGAATGTCTGTCATTAAGTATTGAAGTTGAAGATCATTTAAGTCAAAGGATTTATTGAACTTCAAAATTTTATAGGCTAAATATGTAGTCACTGAAAAATTTTAAACAAATAAAAAAATATAATTCAACACCCTGATTAAAAATTTTAGATTTTTTTTTCCCCCCCAAAAAAACTCAAGCACATTTTTTCATACAATTTGACCCATTTAATTATTGCTAATAAAGTGAAAGAAACTTGTAAGTAAAGGATACGGTAAGGATTCCTGTAATGAAAAAGTTGGAATAATTGTGAAAATTATTCTGTAAAAAAACCCTTCGCAAATTATTTTGCACCTATAAATTTTATTGAATGACAAATTAATTCATTAAGTTAAAGCAGTTCATGTACACTGACATATTTACACTGAGAATTATTAAAAGTAAGAAATAATGAGATTATGATACTGAATCATAATGAAATCTTTGGATAATGCTGCTAACATTCCATATTAATTTACTTAAAATTTCATCAAATTGATAGAACTTAATTGCAGCAATTTAAAATCTTATAATTTTTAATGAAAATTTTTAATTGTGTATAATTTATGTATTTAGTAATGAGAAATTCAAGCTTGCATATGTTTCAATCTGAAAACTTATTTACTTCACACTGTATCATATTTTTACAAATATAAATTTTATTATTTAACTAATTTAAAAGAGTTTTGTAAATAATTTCATGTATAGAAAGGTACTGTTGGTATGACATTTTCTTTTTTAATGTTAATGCATTATCTGGAAACAAAGATTCTTTTGTTTAATTAGCAATGTTTTTATTTTATTCCAAACGTTTCAATGTTCATTCAAATGTAAGATAAATGGAAAGAAAACTAAGTCAATGCAACTTTTCATTGTGAAACGCAAATAGTAAGAAACTCCATAATTGTCGGGTATATTTCTACATTTTTCTCATAATTTGTTCAATTATTTTACATTTATTGTACTGTACAAAGCATATACTCTTATAAATGATATTACTTTAAAATAAAACCAAAAAAAAAGTATGAACTATAAGCTTTAAACATCTAGTGTAACATCCGTCCCACCAAAAATGTAACATCCGTCCCCCTGATACAATTCATTTTTGGGTTATCTGACAAGAAATATACAAAAGAAAGTCCTATAATTTCTACTGGTTTATAAGAAATGAGTTTGCATATTTGATTGAAGTATGATTTGGTGTACCTATCCTTGTTTTATTTCTCTCTGTTTCTAACATGTTTGAAAATTTCATTTTGTGTGAAAAATACTGAAAATTTGAAAGCAAATATTTTTATATCTAAGATGAATTTTCTGGATTTTTTTTTGTAACATTAATCAGAACACATAATATTTTAATAAAATAAAGAGAAATAATACAATTTTTATTGTAAACTGTAAGAAATTCAGACTTTTAGTATATCTTTGTAACATCCGTCCCCTACCCACACAGTCCGCAAGAGATGTAATATTTTGAAAAAGGTATCCAAAAAGTTATCCTTTCTTTCCAAAAATAGGTACTTAAAAAGAGCAAATATTGTCTTGTATGTTTAACTTTATTTTTTGACTTAGATGCTAACACAATTGGCCCATTTACTGTGCAGCAGGCAAAATACAGTTTATTTAGCAACCACGTATAAAATGTATCTCATAAGGAAAAGTATATATTTGCTTTTTTTTTTACAAATTAAGACATATTCGACACAGTCAGACGTTTGAGACTGAGCTTTGTGCAGTTTATTAACCTTCATGTATTATAAAATTGAAAAGCATTCTAGCATAAATTTGCTATCTTCAAGTGATCTAGATTCTTGGTTTGATGTCTATCAATTGCACTGTGTGCTGTAAATTTGTGCTACCACCATTTGCATAAGAAGTGTTCTTATTTGCTTCACAATGACATGTACAAAATAATTTACATTGTTTTTATTTATAGATGGAAAATGTGTAGAAAAGGAAACTGGTAAGATGTCAACAAAACGTCCAGCCAGTGATGCTGGGGGCTCGGATGGACCCCCAGCAAAGAAGAGTTTTACGAGGATTGAGCCCCTCAATTTGGGCTCAATTTACTCCTTGGTAAATAAAACTTATCCTCTCTGTAAAATAATTGCTGTTCAAATTTAACATGTTCGTGAAACTCAGTTTCTTGGTAATAAATGATCATATTAGGTTTAATTGCATGTAGATCTTTAAGTTTTGTAATATATTTTTTGGTTTTAATTTTGTGATGATTTGGGTTCATTGATGATTTTTTTTTTTTAAATGGATTGATGTTTGTTCACTTTCAGCTAACTTTGGCATATCATTGGTTTCCATGTTAACTAAAGATTGTTTTCTATTTTAGGAACAAATGGATATGAAGGTGTTACAGTTCCAGAACAAGAAGTTAGTAGAGAGAATAGATCAGAGGAAGAGAGCGGAGGAGGAGCTACATAAACGTATAGAACAGCTGGAAAATAGGCAACGAACTGATGATGCTGTACTCATGATTGTAAACAGATACTGGAACCAGGTATGTCTGATCGTGGTGAAACATTTTATCAATGAGGTCTGTTCTTATAAGTTAACAATGAACGTGCACTCATTTTCATTTATGCAGTATTTTTCCCATCTTTAGACCAGAACAGGTAAATGGTCTTTTTTCCAAAAAATTTCATGCCCATACATGCTGTGGAAAAACTAAGGCAATACGAGTAATTGATATTGTCATCCTTTAACGGCTGAAAAATAAACACACTTTTATTATTGCCTATTTGTTTAGGATTTTTTTTCTAAATAAATTTTGCTTATTAATTTTCATCATGTACTATTTGTTCATATTAGTTGACTATGATTTTCTGCATATATTTTGTTATAATAGTTGGATGAAGATGTTAGAGTTTTGGTACAGAGATTTGATGCTGAAACTGCTGATGAAGATGAAAATAAAAGTAAGTGTAACACTCTAACAGTGAAATATCAAATCAACATAATAAAGTTTAAGTGGTGGTTATGAATTGCTTGGTTACACAAGGATAATGACCATAAACTTATTCTCCAATGCAAAACTACTGTAAAATCATTATTATTCGTGGGGCACAAATTTTCGTGGTTTTCGTGGGTAGGTCAATCCACGAATTTAAGATCCGACGAACTTTTATCCCAACAAATACTTCTTACCCAGTCTCTGTTCTATATATTACAAACATGCGTCGGCTCTTTTCCGGCCGATATTTCGTGAAATGGATGTAAATACAGACAGATAATCAGGTTAGTGACATATTAAATCCAAAGGCAAAATATTTAAGAAACTTGAAAGAAAACTTGATTATATGTCCTCAATTTACTGTCACAAATGTTGCATATACTTACTTGATCGTTGTAGTCTACTAGGACTGATTGTGTTAACAAGAATACTTGATATAATCGAGTAAATATGGGAACCCAGGCAGTGCAATAATTATCGCTAATAAAAATTGTCAGTTTGCTCTCATAATTTAAAAAAGTCTTTGATATTAATGTCGTAAGTACACAAAACTATAAAAAAAAATACGATCGCTAAAACAGATTTATTGTACATTATTTTTGTCGTTTTTAAATGATCCATTTATATGAATTTTAATCTGTATTTGTGCGAATGCGAATGCTATTCCGTAAACATCAAAGACGCCATTGACTTTTACAATATCCACATATACTCGTGTTATTTACCGAGATTAATTTATATGCATGTAAAGTTACAAGTCGCTGTTACGTTGCGTGTAGTTACTGTCAAATATGTTAAGACCAATTCAGGGTGTAAACTTTAAACTCGCCAGGTGTCGTATAGATTATGCGATGTTTACATCGGCGAATTACAGGGGCAGTGTGTACATTAGAGGTGCATATCATGTCACATAAATGTGTTAATTGCAGTCAATTATCGGCAGTAACTGTGCTATATTAGAGTTATGCCCAGAGGCAAGGATTAAATTCATTGACAAGCGCCGTGTGACAAGTAAAGATATGTACATGTTGTAAGTAAAAATGTTCGGTGGTTAGGTTTAAGATTACTTTGCAATAGGTTACTGATTTTTTTTTTAACAAGAAAACGAAAATCCACGAATTTAAGAACCCACGAAAATGCCCGTTTTGATAAAACCATGAAATAAGTGAATTCGCAGTAATTGTAATTTTAGGATAGAAAAATGAGCCGTGTCATGACAAAACCAACATAGTGGGTTTGCGACCAGCATGGATCCAGACCAGCCTGCACATCAGGATCCATGCTGTTCATTATCAGTTTCTCTACTTGTAATAGGGTTTGTAAGCGAACAGCACGGATCCTGATCAGACTGCGCGGAGGCGCAGGCTGGTCTGGATCCATGCTGGTCGCAAACCCTTTATGTTGGTTTTGTCATGGCACGGCTCAAATCAACAACAACACATGAATATAGATTAATTGCTTTTATAAACTAAATGTAACAAATTCAAATTTACTTCTAATACATTAACATGTATATAAAAATTTTACACTTAACATATACAGTTTTCATGTCTAATTATTGGTAAGTGGAGCAAAACTCTTTTTCAGTAGGTTAATTCTTCTTTAGCTAGTGGTTATTGGGGTGAATCATTAGCTTGGTAAATCATTATTAACAGGCCAGCCTTTGGTAAAGACAGGTATTATTGTGTCTTGTAAACTGGTGTAAAATTTTGACTGATTGGTTATACTGTATTTTAGATCAAAGTACAGAAACAACATCATTCCTTGCCTTGTTGTCTACCTGGGATCGTCAGGAGTTAGAACAAAGGTTAGGTCAGAGAGTGGAGTTCTCTAAACGTGTCATTGGCAAGTTGTTACAGGCATTTGACAGACTGTTACAGAGAAATGAGAAACTTAACAATGCCCTTAGAGATAAAGTGGACCAGGTATATACATGTTTTTGTTTATATTTTGTTAGATTTTAAAGCAGGATGTCTCCTAATTGTAAGTTGGGACTAAATATGTTTGAATTACTGGAGTCTATGCATTTCTTAGCTCTCGCAGGTGAGGTGGTTTTGATGCCAAGTGTTGCTTTAAATTTGTTACTGCCGAGGTTAGCCAGGATAATCTTTCCTGTTATGGCGCCAGGGCTTTTTTCCCTTCTATAACAGGGGCCGATATAAGGCCCCTTCACTATTCAAAATTACACTTTTCTCAAAATGTTGAGACCTTGTTTGAAATACATTGTTTAAGTTCTGGTAAAACTTGATTTACTCCAATTGCAATAACACAGAAATAGTTTTAATCAAGTTAAATGGTTTTGGCACATTAACTGGGTAAGTGTACCGACTTGTAGCAGATTTTACACAGGTCAGAAATTATAATCAACCGTTTTCGGTTTCAAAATGTCGCAAAATGCCAAGTCATATGTCACTTGTTTTTCTTTACAATTTCATGACATATCGCTCTTTTTTTAACAAAATGAACAGGCCCAGGTCCCTTCACAATTTTAACAAAAATGCACTGGGCACCATATGATCTAAATGGTGTTGGTGCACCTTAAAACAAAACAAACAAATTTAGACTGCATGAACCTTTTGAAATATTTCAATGATATCATGATAGGAGGAGGAGATGGGATCCGAGCTGGTTAGTTCAGATATTGCTGCTATACCTGAAATTTCTCCCATGAAGTCTGAAGCCGACATAAAGAAAGAGCCGAAAGAGCCCGAGGAAACAACAGCTGCTAGTAGTGAAGTTAAAACAGAAACTGAAGAAAACAAGCCCAGTGAAGAGTCAACAGAGGGGACAGAAGTTAAAACTGAACCAACAACTGGTGGGTTTATGGATATATTTATTAGATACCAGTATTTGCTACTTGATTTGTTAATATAAATTATAAATTAAGCTCAAATTTCCAAAATGTGTACTTTCTGATAAAAAACATATGATGTTTGTAAACTGGAAATGAAACCTGTTTCTATATGCTAAAGTGTGCCATATAGAAGTTTTATTATCTATACATGATGTGTAGTTCAGGTAGTTTGAATATAAAAACTTGCAGTTTTATTGGTGGAATGGTATAAAATTGTGATTTCATCAAAGCTTGACCAGTTATATTTATATATTTAACAAAAAGTACAAAGTTGTTTGCATTAAATTCAATTTGAATGAGATTTGGTGCATTAAAAGTTATATTCTAATGAAACTTACTTTATCCATAAAAAATAAATATATTTATGTTAAATCAGGGACTACAGAAGAAGTGAAAGAAGTTAAGAAGGAAGGAGAACAGCCTGTTGAAGTGAAAACAGAGGTCAAGGTTGAACCCATGGAGACGGCAGAGGTCAAAGTTGAAGAGAAACCTTCGAGTCCACTATCTGTTAGAGCAATGAAGGATGAACTTCAAGAATTACAGACAGAAAATAAACGTCTACATAACATGGTGACTGATCTTCATCAAAGACATCATGAAAATACTCTCAAGGTTTGTATGTTAATGTTTATTTTAACTTTATAATACTGCATGTTTGTAAAATTGATTTTCTTTGGACAAACGTTTATTTTGTATACACAGCTGCTGTCATTTTAAGAAGAAATCTAGCTTTTTTTCTCTAAAAAATAATGTTTGCTTTATTATAAATTCGTTATAAAGATTGTTGACAGGTTATATGGCAGTATATAAATGGCTGTTTGCAATATAACCCTCGCCTAGCGGCTTGGGTTATATTTACAAATAGCCGTTTATATACTGCCATATAACCTGTCAACGATCTTTATAACTAATATTATAATACTGCAGTTTTGTAATGTCTCTATCCATTAGACAATAGCACTGTTTATACAGTTTTATATACACAGCTGTTGTCAATTAACAGAGAAATCTCGCTTCTTTTTCTCTAAATAAGGAGATTGCTGTATTATAATTTGTTATAAAGATTCCTGACAGATTAAATGGCCGTATATAAATGGCTGTTTGCAATATAACTCGAGTCGCTACATGTATAATTATGCAAGCAACAATTTATATTATAGGGCCATATAAACTGTCAAAAAATCTTAATAACTAATGATATATCAACCATCACTAATAGAAAAGAGAGAATCCTTAAAGGACACCCATAACAGCAAACTTGAAAATAATGTAGACTGGAGAATTCAACATTTTGACATGAAAACTGTGAAATTTGGACTTTAGAAACAACCTTGCTTTATATGATACTTTGGATTATGATATTATAACATGTGGTAAAAAGAGTTTCCCGTTTGCTTATTTATGTATCTGAAAATGACTTCAACCAGATCTGCAATCTGACTCTTGACTTCTAAAATTCAGTATTTTCATATTGAAGTCCTTAAAATAAACAAAAGACAGCTTGAAATTCTAAGGACAGACAGACAGATAACTTTATTTCAGTATACAACATGAGGAATATTGATATATTGAAGCAATTATTGAATCTAGTATAAAAAAGTAGGTATAACATGAATTATACAGTAATGGAGGCCAAATAAATCAGGTGATATAATTGTAAAAAGTCATTAGTACCAATTACTGATCAATTTGAAATAAACAATAGATAGAATATCTATCATTTATAAATTTATATTTGTCATGTGTTTTGTTTTTAATCAGGTTGCAGAACTTCAGGATAAATTGACAGCAGCAGAGACTGAGATTGCCGAGTTAAAGAATCAGAGTGAAGATCTGGAGTATAATTATCAGGTGTCTTCTCAACGTGCTGAAAAACTTGACCGATATCTGTCCGATGCTTTCCAGAAACTACAGACATACGAGGATAAGAATGTTATACAATTAGAGGGAGGCAAATCTGTAACTGGTGTCTCCAAAAATAAGGTGAGAGATTTCTGAAAATCTAAATATAAATTATACAATAAATTTTTTCCATTAGTTTTTAGCTCACCTGAGCAATGCTCAGGGTGAGCTATTGTGATCGCCCTGTGTCCGTCGTCCGTCGTCGTGCGTCGTCAACTTTTCACATAAACAACATCTCCTCTGAAACCAATGACTGCACATCAACCAAACTTTACAGAAATGATCCTTGGGTGGTCCCCTTTCAAAGTTGTTCAAATGGTTCCGGTCTGTTGCATATGTAGGTCACAGGGCCAGAAAAGGATTTCAAAAAACACAAAATTAAAAAATCTTCTTGTCTGAAAGTACATGGGCCAGAGCTTTGATTTTTGGTATATGGTATCATCTATGGGTCCTCTACCAAAGTTGTTCAAATTTTGTCCCTAGTGTCAAAATTGGCCCCGCCCCGGGGGGTCATAGGTTTTTCCTTATATGTCTATAGGTAAATCTAAAAAAATCTTCTTCTCTGAATTGGCAAAGGCTACAGATTAGATATTTGGCATGAAACATTGTGTAGTAGACCTCTATCAAGATTGTTCAAATAATGGCCCTATGGTCAAAATTGGCCCCGCCCTGGGGGGTCATTGATTTTCATTACATACATATAGTGAAAACTTGAAAAATCTTCTGGTCTGAAACTAAATGGCCTAGAGCTTTGCTTTTTGGTATATGGTATCATCTATGGGTCCTCTACCAAAGTTGTTCAAATTTTGTCCCTAGTGTCAAAATTGACCCCGCCCGGGGGGTCATAGGTTTTTCCTTATATGTATATAGTAAAACATAAAAAAATCTTCTTCTCTGAATTGGCAAAGGCTACAGATTAGATATTTGGCATGAAACATTGTGTAGTAGACCTCTATCAAGATTGTTCAAATAATGGCCCTAGGGTCAAAATTGGCCCCGCCCCGGGGGTCATTGATTTTCATTACATACATATGGTGAAAACTTGAAAAATCTTCTGGTCTGAAAGTAAATGGCCTAGAGCTTTGATATTTGGTCTATGGTATCATCTGAAGGTCCAATACCAAAGTTGTACAAATTTTGTCCCTAGTGACAAAATTGGCCCCGCCCCGGGGGGGTCATAGGTTTTTCCTTATATGTATATAGTAAAACATAAAAAATCTTCTTCTCTGAATTGGCAAAGGCTACAGGTAAGATATTTGGCATGAAGCATTGTGTGGTAGACCTCTACCAAGATTGTTCAAATAATGGCCCTTGGGTCAAAATTGGCCCCGCCCTCGGGGTCATTGATTTTCATTATATACATATAGTGAAAACTTGAAAAATCTTCTGGTCTGAAAGTAAATGGCCTAGAGCTTTGATATTTGGTCTATGGTATCATCTATAGGTCCAAAACCAAAGTTGTTCAAATTTTGTTCCTAGAATTAAAATCGGCCCCGCCCTGGGGGTCATTGATTTTCCCTATATGTATATAGTAAAAACTTAAAAAATCTTCTTTTTAAAGAACCCAAAGAGCTAGAGCTAAGATATTTAGCATGAAACATCTTCTAATGGGTGTCTACCAAGTTTGTTCAAATAAAAGCCCTGGGGTCAAAATTGGCCCCACCCAGGGGGTCATTGATTTTCCCTATATGCATATAGTAAAAGCTTAAAAAAAATTTCTTTTAAAGAATGCAAAGAGCTAGAGCTAAGATATTTAGCACGAAAAGTGTTCTAATGGATGTCTACCATGTTCGTTCAAATAAGAGCCCTGGGGTCAAAATTGGCCCTGCCCCGGGGTCATTCATTAGCTCGACTTTTTTTTTTATAGATATATACATACATATATATATATATATATATATACATACATATATATATATATATATATACAATATACATACATACATATATATATATATATATATATATATATATATATATATATATATATATGTATGTATTGCATTTTTTGGTGTGTGTGTGTATATATGAAATATATATATATGTATGTATCTATATTGTATATATATATCTTATATATATGTATGTATATATATATATGTATGTATATATAAAATATATATATATATATATATATATATATATATATATATATATATATATATATATATATATATATATATATATGTATGTATATATATATATATATATATATATATATATATATATATATATATATATATATACACATATTATGTATATATATTATAAACATAATATGTATATATATATAAATACATAAAAAATCTTCTTTTAAAAAACCCAATAAGCTAGACCTTAGATGTTTAGCATGAAACATCTTCTAATGGGTGTCAACCTACTTTGTTCAAATAAAAGCCCTGGGGTTTAAACTGGGCCCGCTCCGGGGGCCTATATACAGGTGAGCGACTTTGGGCCATCATGGCCCTCTTGTTTTTGTATTGTACATAATATGATTACTTTCTTTTGGTGCAAATAAGCAGTTTAATTTTTTGTTTGAAAAGTTAAGTGAACTTTGAAACAATAGTGAAGTTCAAGCATATAGTCAAATGTAAAGTTTAGATATAAGACATGATAATTTGGACATTAAGTACAGCAATAAGTCTTTAGGTTGCCTATACTATTGAGTTATGTAATTGTTATTCAGACCCTAGATATATTTTACCTATCAATGGTGTTGATGTATGTGAATTTACTACAGTTTGATGAGATTATATCTGACCTGGAGGAACAGAAAGATCTAGCATCTAACAGACTTGCTGAGTTAGAAAAACTGCAGAAAGATCATCAAAAAGCCCTGAAAGATATAGAACAGCTTAAACTAGATGTATGCAGCAAGTTTTTTATTATCCCTTTATGCTTTCAGATAAAAACAGAGAAAACAATTAAGTTTTCATAGTAAAATGACATACAGTGAGAGTTATAGAAAATATCTCACTACAGTTTAATATTTTATCGATTAATATAAAAGTTTGACTTCAGAAATATATGGTAACTTTTATATATTGTTTCTTTTATTTTATTATTTGTTTTTGAGAAATAAGTTTCTAAATAGATGATATGTATATTCTCAAAAAAATTTTTTTGAATAGATGATATGCAGTGAGAGATATGAATTGTATCTCATTCATATTACATTTATAAGTAAACTATAAATATATCATTGTAGTTACAACATCTACCAGAGAGTGTGATAGTGGAGACAACGGAGTATAAATGTTTACAGTCACAGTTCTCTGTATTATATAACGAGAGTTTACAGATGAAAACACAACTTGACGAGTCTAGAACTCTCGTCCTGACCAATAAAAACGCTCATCTGAGACAGATAGAACAAATGGAGGTAAAGTTAACTGTTTAGGTGATTTCGATTGGTGTAAGGAAAACTAAAAACATAAATTGTTTAAAATAACTATATCACTGAAGTGGAAGGGTCTCTATGTTTATATTAATTATCTTTATAGACACTTTTATTATTATCAATTAAAGATATACTATGCTTATCCTTAAGTAAAATATTTTACTCCAAGAAATTTATTGAAAAATATGAAATTCTTACTGAATATGTCTAATTTGAATAAAAAAAATGAATAAACTATGTATGGGAAGCTGCGTTTCCTATTACAGGACAAGTAAAGTTGATCTTGTCTTAAGCTGCCAGTTATTTTTAATGACACTATATATTCATATTGTGACCACCTATTATGTGTAGAATTTTAAACATAATATATCTACTTTGTGGTAAGTCAAAACATGTTTATTTAATATTTACAAAGAGTCTGTGTAGCAGTTACCAATATTTTCTAATATATCAAATTTGAGCATAGTATATCTTTAACTCACAAGTATGTTTATTAAACTTTAAAATATAAGTTTTAATTCAGTTTTGGATTTGTGACAATTCTATTGAAAGCATTTTGAACTAGTGTTATATATAGAGAGAAAAATATGTGACTGCTATTAGTGCTTGTGTATGTGATGTGGTTAACTAGACTTCAACAGATTGACATTTCGTTACCTTACTGCAGTAAGGGGTTAACTCCTATTAAATAATATAAGGAGTTAACCTGTTACTGCACTAATAAGACAATTTGATGTTTTAACATTTTTACACTATTTATTTTGATATAGAGTGATGAATTAATGAATCAGAAGAAGTTGAGAACAGAGGTTATACAACTTGAAGACGCCCTTGGTCAGGTACGAAAAGCGTACGAGATGTTGCGAATAGAATTTGAACAAACACTGGCTGCACATGAACAGACAGGTATGATTTTTGTTTTGACGTTTTTTTCTATCAGCTCACCTGGCACAAAGTGCATCTGTGATATGCTCATATTTTTCTTGGAACAACATCTCCACTGATGTCATGACCTGATGAAACTCTGCACCAATGTTCCTTGTATAAAGTCCTATCAAAATTGTTAAGATAATTCCATTCTGTGCAGAACTGCTTATGACATTATACTTGTGGAAAACCTCTTTGCCCATGGCTTTGATATTTGAATTATAGCGTCATCAAGTTATACTTCACAAAAAATGTTCAATATATGTCCTTAGTGTCAAAATTAGCCCCCCCCCCCCACATCATATGGCATCACTATACATTAAATTACTTAGGAAAAAATCTGCATATCCATTTGTTAAATAAAACAATGGTAAGATAAGGGCCTAAAGGTGAATTATTTGGCAAGTTATTTCCCTTAGATGATCTCTCTTTATATTTTAAAAATTTCCCTTTGGTGAAAAATGGCCAAATCTTATGGTGAAACTGTGGGGGAAAAAACGTTAGTGAAAGAACTCTTTTGTTGGCATAAAATGTATGTGAAAAAATCAAGTTCAGGTTGTTTTTCTAAACTGGTCAAATGTGTTATATTCATACAGAATTTTTTGTGGGTTATTCTCCCCTTATGCATGAAGCATCTAGAATTCATTTCTAGATTATTTTATTTTTTGGTTATTGCGAGATACTTGTTAACTTATTATAATGAAGTTATTTTTATATAAATAAACTTAATAACACTGTCATTGTTCTATGTAGAAAATAAAAATTGTCATTGTTGATTCCCCATCAATAGATATTTTTGATAAATTTCATTTTAAAAATAATGATATATATCCTATTGTAGTTTTTGTGTGAGTTTTACAATGGTCATGTTATCATGTTTCTGCAGTCAAAGTATAATTCTACTTTTAGTTTATGTTTAAAACATTAAAAATGTAGCGTCATAGAAGTCACAATTACCTTGTACAATAGTTACTTGTAATCTACATCATACTGCTTTAAAATTGTTTACAATTACACTAAACAGGTATACATTGTATACTACATTGAATTAAGTTGAGAGACAACTACGAGAAACAAGGGAATCCGGGAACCAGTCCCTAGCTCTTATTGAATAGACCCCTTGGTTCTTTTACATGCCCAGTGTATAGCACTGATGCATGCGAGGATTACATGGATTTCCTACCAGTACACATCTAGTTAGGTGGGAAACAGTGGAAGTGTTTCTGGAAAATCCCAAGGGTGTTATCCAGGATTGAACCCGGGACCTCAGGAATGATAGTCAGTGGTCTAACCAACTGGACTATGGCGCCACCACCATAATGTATTATATATAGTAGATAGAATAGCAAAAACACCAGAAAGTTTAATTGTTTTAACAGTGGTTATATATTTGAATCAACACATATCCACTATATGTTTGATAATGTTTATTTGTGAAGGGTAAATATGCTGAGATAAATGCTCAATATGAATAATAAAAAAACACCTGAGGTATTGATGATGGAAACAGAAATAACTTCATGTAGACATTCCTTTTGTCTGAGGAGTGGTCATATTAGCTTGACATTGTTAATTTAATTAAAACCTCAAAAACAAGAGGAAAACAAAGGCAGAATGATTTATGTGTTATAGATATGGCATTTTATGTTTACCCACAGGTTCTATTAATCAGGAAATGAGAAACCTGATTCAGAGTTTACAGAAACAAAGTATGCAGGTGAAGGCTGAAGCTCAGCGAAATAGAAGGAAAGTGAAAGAATGTCAAGCTGAAATTAATAAGGTAAACTTAAAGATATAATCACTACACTGATCTATCGATTGGCTGTCAATATGAAGCCATCATTTGACCGGTTAGAATTTAACCAGTTATCTAACTGGTAGTTATGTGCAGTCATTTGTAAACTTAGTTTTTAAAAATGTGACCTAAAATTTGATCATGAACACATGTGCGAAGTTTTAAGTGAATACTCTCAGTTGTTTTGAAGATTGATGCTACCCATTAAAATTTTAACCAGAAAATTTCTATGTCCACTTAGTACAAATTACTGTAATAATTACAGGCCTTAGACTGAATAAAGGGTTATTAAATTATTCATCTAATAATCTGTTAATCAGCTCGACTTCCCAGAATAATCGAGCTAATGCAGTCACCCATTTGTCGGCGTCCCTGTGGTTAAGTTTTTGTGTGTAAGCTAGTATCTCCAAAACTACAGAAGACAATGGATTGAAACTTCACACACTTGTTCGCTGTGATTATCTAACATGGTTGGCATAAGTCCCATAACTCTGATTTGCTTCTTTTGCATAATTATGCCCCTTTTTGAATTGGAAATTCAGTGATTTACTTGATAAAACATCTTAATAACAAGCCTTTGTACCTGTTTGGACAATTTTATGTATTCACATAGGTAAGCATTATTATACTCAATGAAAAACCCTCGTGACCAATTTTTTGAATAGTCTAGATTCGCTGTCCTGTGACAGCTCTTGTTTTATATTATTATTGTAATAATCTGAGACTTCACTGGTTTTAAATCTATATCGGGCGTTAAAGAAAAGAAAAGAATTACGGGGTCGTAAGGCCCCGGCTGAAATTCAAAAAGTTTGCACAACCCAAACCATGAAAAGGTTAAATTCCTAAAGGTGAAGCGGGTGATGGATTTTGCCCCAAAAAGTATGATAATGTGCTAGAAAAGGAAAGAGAAAAAGGAAAAATGAGCAGGATTTTCAAAAAGATTTGAAAGCACTTTTTAAAGTAAGCATTTTTACTTTTAAAATGCTCCAAAAACAAATAATTAAGGGCCATTAGCTTTTTTTTTTTGTTAAAAAAACATTCGTTTTGTTTTCAGACTAAGTTTTTTCTAATATTTTGAAAAGATCATAAAAACACTGGAAAGCCTTTTCTTCGAAACTGCGCCCTGAGAAGTAATTTATAGCATGCCAGTGACATTTGTTTTTTAAAATTGAAAAAACAAATCATTTGCTTTACTTATTTGCATATAGAGAGCTGTCAGGTAGATTAAGGGTTTAGAGGGGTTTCCTTATTTCTATGTATTTTATCGACTGCATATTTCATTTTCCACCTTAATTCTTTTGCTTTGACAGTCCTATGAAATGATTTATCTAAAAATAACATATTTAACCTTTAGAATATCTGAAGGCGGCTTTAATCTATGCCCACAGTTTAATGTCAGACCAACTTATACATGTGGCCGAGTTTCTTTTTCTTTCAAATAAAGTTTCTTAGACTGAAATTATTACACCACACTGAAACAGAGTTTAAATTTATTTCACCTTTCGTATTAAGCTTTTTACTACTAAGTATTTATTATAACTATTTGTTGTAACAATAACTTAGTAATATAAGAAATAAAACTAAACATAAGAAACATTTAACAGTTTACCTAACTTTTATAAATTATCAATAGACGTCAGTTTTAACAATTCTCATATACAACACTATTTTATCTTGAAGTATAACCACAAAAACTTAATCAATTTAGATAACCAAAATATATCACTTTAATTTAAATCTAAGTTATTTCAAGAAGATCTTACAAACTTAGAACCTAATGAATTTCTGACTTGTATGCTAAATCATCTAAGCTTATATACATGTACTTATAAAAGGTGGGAAAATAATCAAGAAAATCAAATAAAGTGTGTGTGTGTGGTTAATATATAGGAGTTTACAATGTAATAATACATTTCTAAGAAGTTTTCTTATGACATAAACAAAGTCAGGAGCATACTCAAATGATAAATATTTCAATTTAACTTTACTATAATAGGTTCTGAAATTACAAAAATATGTAAAGAATCAAAACATCTTTAACTTGCAAATAAAAATCACAAAGTTTGCGACAATACATCATTCTGTTACCAACCTGATACCTAACATGTATTGTTACCCTAACCCAATATTAATATTAAATATTTAATTACGTTGATTTAAACTTCTCTGACACTACCACAGTAACAAATTCACATAAAGACATGTTTCATACACATATACAGCTGGGTAATGGTTAAATTAATGGATATTTGTCTCTTTGAAATATCTAGTTCTTTGTTTATTCTTCATATGTGATGAGTAGTACAACTTTTCATATCTCAAAATTATTTCTGTCGTAACTTATTATGTCTGCCTAATAAATTAAACATGCAGGAAGTGTTATATTAATTTGTCTCTGATGCATGAATTAGATCTTGGACAAAATTCTTGTTTTAATATAATGAACTATTTTGTTTTCTAGGAAATCTCAGGATAATCAGAAGGAACTAAAGTTATTATTAGACATGTATAAAAGTGCACCAAAAGAGCAAAGAGATAAAGTTCAGGTATTCTAGTCTACATGTATATATTTCTGTAGCACAAAGTTTCTTCATGACCTTTTAACTTTATAGTCTGCCTGCTTGACACAATAGGATAAGTAAAAACATTGGATTTGTTGTACAGGGGTTACAGGTTTGATCCACGAGCAAGGTGAAATTTGACGGTAATAATTGATCACAAAATTTGCTTGCGTCATGCCTGGCTAGACATTACCTTTCTCATAACATTATATAGCATCACTTTCAAAAGTACCTTATATATTTATAATGTGTTCATGGCTTTTTATATTATTAGTTATAAAGATTTTTGACATGTTATATGGTCTCATATAAACGCTTTTTGGAAATATAACTGGAGCTGCTAGGTGAGAGTTCTATTGCAAACAACCATTTATATACCATCATATAACCTGTCAGGAATATTTATAACGAATTTATAATACAGCAAACTTCCTTTTTTGAGAAATAAGTGAGATTTTTTAGAAAATTGACAACAGCCGTGTATATAAAACTACAAATACATCATAATTACATAATAATATAACATAAAGCATAATTATCCATTGAAAAGTGGCATTGCAAACGTGCAGTATTATAATATTGATAAGATACCGGAGTTATGTGTTGTTATAGTTAATGGCATGTGATATACCCGAGTGTTGTTATAGTTAATGGCATGTGATATACCCGAGTGTTGTTATAGTTAATGGCGTGTTATATACCTGAATTTTATGTTGTTATAGTTAATGGCATGTGAGAAGAGATTAAACAAGGAGATAGATGATTTAAGACAACATATCAAGAAGATGCAGGAGACAGAGAGAAAAGAACGTAAAAAACTTGCCGAAGAAGATGCTCTAAGGAAAATCAAGAAACTAGAAGAAACTATAACAGAACTACAGAAAAATCTGGCAACTCAAAAACAAGTAAATATTATCTTATCTTTTTGTTCCGTGATAAAATTAAGAGCTTTGTGTTTGTATTATCCATTAACTTTATGTGTTTGTGTAGAAGTTTTGAATTTGATATGGAGCATTCCACTGTAAACTTTAGGGATGATTACCTAAGCAGGGATCAGTATAAAAAAATGGGTTTGCCGAAATAACATTTTTTAAAACATTAATATGATTTGCTCAAGTTTAATATGCTTAAATCAAGTATAATTAAGGATAATTAAGAACAATTGGTTGGTGAAATTGCACATATGATCAACCTGACTTTATTAATGTAGTATATGCAAACCATTATCAGATATAGCATTCAGGAAATGATATCAAGTTGGATAATTGATCACTCAACATAGGCTGCTGTATATTTGATGACATATGCCTTTCTTTCTAACACATACATATTTAATATATCAGAATAAAACATCATTCATTCAACTTTTATCATTGTATATACATGTATATACATGTAGTCTGAACTTGTAGTTTTGATTTATCATTTACATACAGTAAATGTACAAAAGCATGCGATACTAAGGGACTATGATTTGTTACATCAATTTTGAATATTTTCAATCTTGACTGTTTTAAATTGACTTTGATTCTTGATAAACATGTATAACAGAATACTGTTGCATTGTCAGTTGTGGCCTAGTGGTAAAGGTGTCTGGCTCTCAATCAAGAGATTGAGGGTTCAAGCCCAACTGGGGTCACAACTACATGTATGTTTCCTCATATGACACTAGTACTGGTTGGTTCTAGGATGAGTACTGTAAAATTGATTTAAATTATCTAGAAACTGTCTTTACAATATAACTAAAATGACTAACGAGTAGTGCTTATTTTGGACGATAAGAAATTGTATAATTGTGATAAAGTGTGAGACTGTTTTATGTGTATAAAAGTATATATTTGTAGAGAGAACATGTGAGAATGTTTCATATATCTAAATGTATATATATTTATAGAGAGAAGATGTGAGAATGTTTCATGTATATAAATGTATATATATTTATAGAGAGAAGATGTGAGAATGTTTCATGTATATAAATGTATATATATTTATAGAGAGAAGATGTGAGAATGTTTCATGTATATAAATGTATATATATTTATAGAGAGAAGATGTGAGAATGTTTCATGTATATAAATGTATATATATTTGTAGAGAGAAGATGTGAGAATGTTTCATATATATAAATGTATATATATTTATAGAGAGAAGATGTACTATTAAATGAGATGGATGCAACAGGACAGGCGTTTGAGGACATGCAGGAACAAAATACACGTCTACTACAACAACTGAGGGAAAAAGATGATGCCAACTTTAAACTTATGTCTGAGGTAATAGATTCTACTTTATATTCTGTTTTATTTTGGGTTGAAAGATGCGTATATAAATATTTTCATTTTAAAGGCACATTATGCCTAAAAAATCTTTTTCTTTAAAAATTCTTTAGAAATGGCAAACATGTGTTTGATAATGTTTTAGTAATGGATTAAGAGCATGTAAGATGTTTAACAACTGAAGAAAATTGCACTGAACATGCTGTAATGTGTCCTAAGGGTAGCAAAATATAAACAAAGTAGTATTTTAACTTCCATACAAAATACTAATTCACTATAATTATATCAATAGCCAAGAGAACAAAACATAAGTTCATCACTATGGCAAATTTGCCTATTAACTTGTTCTAAAATAACATGAGGCAGAAATTTAAAAGTAAAAAAAATTAATAGCTTTGCCAGAAATAAGCATTGTTTATTGAGAAAATTATATAATGCATAATTTAATGTGGTTTTTATTAAAAAGTTTTTAGACTGGGGTAGAACTCAGATTATATGTTTAAAGTAGGGACTTTCAATTTTTAGCTTGATTTTTTTTTTTTTTTTTTTTTTTTTTTTTTTTTTTTTTAAAGAGGTAATTGTTACAGCCATGTCGCCGTTGACAAGGCCTTTGCTGCTAGGCAAAACATGCACCTTGTTAACAAAAAATAATGATAGCTTTTTATTCATTGTTGAGCTAGGGAGGGAAATATATATATATATTTTCATAGAGAATTTATATAATTTACTTAAAGAAAGTTATATGATTTATTTATAGAGCATATATATGATTTATTTATAGAGCAAACATATGATTTATTTATAGAGAATTTATTTATGATTTATTTATAGAGAATTAAGGCTAACCAGATACAGAAATTATTGAGAGAGGAGAAAGAAGTTTTAGCAGAACAAGTATCTACAATACATACTCAGGTTGAGGCACAGATATTAGTTGTTAGAAAACTGGAGGAGAAGGAAAGAGTCTTACAAAATAATATCATGACCATGGAGAAAGAATTAGCGTAAGTTTACTGAATGCTGTTTATATGGTAGATTGTTAATTGTTGACTTCATATATTTTACTTATCCCTTGGACTTTGTGTATTTAACTTATCCTGTTGACTTTGTGTATTGGGCTTGTCCTTTTGACTTTGTATATTGGATTTATCCTGTTCACTTTGTGTATTGAACTTATCCAGTTGATTTTGTATATTTAACTTATCCTGTTGTGCATTGAACATATTCTATTGATTATGTGTATTGGACTTATCCTGTTGACTGTGTTTTACCTTATCCTGTTGACTTTGCGTATTGACTCTATCCTGTTGGCTTTGTGTATTGGCCTTTTTCTGTTGACTTCGTGTATTGGCCTTATCCTGTTGACTTTGTATATTTTACTTATTCTCTTTTCTTTGTATATTGGATTTATCCTGTTGACCTTGTGTATTGGCCTTATCCTGTTGACTTTGTATAATTTACTTATTCTCTTTTCTTTGTATATTGGATTTATCCTGTTGACCTTGTGTATTGGCCTTATCCTGTTGACTTTGTATAATTTACTTATTCTCTTTTCTTTGTATATTGGATTTATCCTGTTGACTTTGTGTATTGGGCTTATCCTGTTGACTTTGTATATTTTACTTATCCTGTTGTCTTCACATATTGGATTTATCCTGTTGTCTTTGTATATTGGCCTTATCCTGTTGACTTTGTATATTAGTCTTATCCTGTTGACTTTGTATATTGGTTTTATCCTGTTGACTTTGTGTATTGGTCTTATCCTGTTGACTTTGTGTATTAGTCTTATCCTGTTGACTTTGTGTATTAGTCTTATCCTGTTGACTTTGTGTATTGGTCTTATCCTGTTGACTTTGTATATTGGTTTAATCCTGTTGACTTTGTGAATTGGTCTTATCCTGTTGACTTTGTGTATTAGTCTTATCCTGTTGACTTTGTGTATTGGTCTTATCCTGTTGACTTTGTGTATTAGTCTTATCCTGTTTTGACTTTGTGTATTAGTCTTATTCTGTTGACTTTGTGTATTGGTCTTATCCTGTTGACTTTGTATATTGGTTTTATCCTGTTGACTTTGTGTATTGGTCTTATCCTGTTGACTTTGTATATTGGTTTTATCCTGTTGACTTTGTGTATTAGTCTTATTCTGTTGACTTTGTGTATTGGTCTTATCCTGTTGACTTTGTGTATTGGTCTTATCCTGTTGACTTTGTGTATTAGTCTTATCCTGTTTTGACTTTGTGTATTAGTCTTATTCTGTTGACTTTGTGTATTGGTCTTATCCTGTTGACTTTGTGTATTGGTCTTATCCTGTTGACTTTGTGTATTGGTCTTATCCTGTTGACTTTGTGTATTAGTCTTATCCTGTTGACTTTGTGTATTAGTCTTATCCTGTTGACTTTGTGAATTAGTCTTATCCTGTTGACTTTGTGTATTAGTCTTATCCTGTTGACTTTGTGTATTGGTCTTATCCAGTTGACTTGAATTAATAGGCATTGCAGAGCTTTTCACTCATACTGGACTAAGAATAATTGTTCTTCAATTGAAATCTGGACATAAAATTAATTAGATATCAATTTGCTTGAATTAAGTAGCCAACTGTGTAGAAGATGTCCTCAATATTGTTTGCTGTATAATTACAGCAAATTGATATCAAAATATCTCACATAAATAAAAACACTTTATTATTTAAATTAATGACTGAACAACTCTTTTTTTGTACAGATTTAAAATATTTTAATGATAATTTTAGAGAAACTGAAAAAGCTTAGAATTGATTGGTTTGGTTTATCAGGTTATTCATGAACTAATGAAAGATTTTCATTGCAACATGTTTTATATTTCCTTATTACAAGTATTCTAAGAAAGTACATTATCTCTGTAGGTATGACATTAATTGTAGGAAGTGAAATGATGTATGTGTTGTGTGCATGTGTGTGTGTGGTGACTTCAGGTGTTACATTTCATTAATAACATTTATATGTATAAGTTGACCTTGATATTTCGTCTTATTATAATTGTTATATACTGTAAGATATACATGTATAATATACATGTATGATAGACAAAGAACACATGTGTCCAACTATTAGTATTGACTTTGATGCAAACATTATTTTTTTTAAATCATATATATTTGATGTAAAGTTAAGTACAAGGTAAAGACATAAGAGGAGTGTCTATTACAAGTGGTATATGTCTTATATATTAATAATGTGTGTTTTAATATAAATGTAAGATACAAATGCGTGGATTTATAGGTACAATTCTTTCATTTAAATACTAACTATCAGTTTCACAATGATACCAATCTTCAACGTTTTTAGGGGTTAAGGCTAATATGTGATTCATAAAATAAACAGCAAACTCCTTGATAAAGATGTTACACCACAGAGGGTTAACCCTAACCCTTCATCCCCTCCCTTCTAGGATTTTCTCTAGGTGTAAGACTGAAAAATGCTCTGTGATCTGAACAAGTTTATATAAATGTTTATATGTATTAATCACATAAATCGTGGCACAGGAGTATGATAAAGTCATTTAATAAAAATGACTTTACAAAAGTGTAATAACACTTTGACTTGACATCATTTATATTATATATAAACAAAGCATTTAAGAGCTCTAATGTAAGCGTTACACTACAGGTGAAAACACATTGAAAAAAAATGCTCTTTTTAACAGTTTACCGTTCTTATTTTATATATATGTGAGAAAAAGAACATTAAATTCATGTAGATCCAATAGAGGCTGGCATAATATGATTTTATTCAACTTGTTCAATAAATTTATTATTAAACCTACACTCATTGAATATCGTGTATATATCTAACAGGTTGACCCAACAGGCATTAGAGTTACATAAACGTTTAACCTACACTCATTGAATGTCGTCTATATTTCTAACAGGTTAACCCAACAGGCATTAGAGTTACATAAACGTTTAACCTACACTCATTGAATATCGTCTATATTTCTAACAGGTTAACCCAACAGGCATTAGAGTTACATAAACGTTTAACCTACACTCATTGAATGTCGTCTATATTTCTAACAGGTTAACCCAACAGGCATTAGAGTTACATAAATGTTTAACCTACACTCATTGAATGTCGTCTATATTTCTAACAGGTTAACCCAACAGGCATTAGAGTTACATAAACGTTTAACCTACACTCATTGAATATCGTCTATATTTCTAACAGGTTAACCCAACAGGCATTAGAGTTACATAAACGTTTAACCTACACTCATTGAATATCGTCTATATTTCTAACAGGTTAACCCAACAGGCATTAGAGTTACATAAACGTTTAACCTACACTCATTGAATATCGTCTATATTTCTAACAGGTTAACCCAACAGGCATTAGAGTTACATAAACGTTTAACCTACACTCATTGAATATCGTCTATATTTCTAACAGGTTAACCCAACAGGCATTAGAGTTACATAAACGTTTAAACCTACACTGATTGAATATCGTCTATATTTCTAACAGGTTAACCCAACAAGGCATTAGAGTTACATAAACGTTTAACCTACACTCATTGAATATCGTCTATATTTCTAACAGGTTAACCCAACAGGCATTAGAGTTACATAAACGTTTAACCTACACTCATTGAATATCGTCTATATTTCTAACAGGTTAAACCCAACAGGCATTAGAGTTACATAAACGTTTACCTACACTCATTGAATGTCGTCTATATTTCTAACAGGTTAACCCAACAGGCATTAGAGTTACATAAACGTTTAACCTACACTCATTGAATATCGTCTATATTTCTAACAGGTTAACCCAACAGGCATTAGAGTTACATAAACGTTTAACCTACACTCATTGAATATCGTCTATATTTCTAACAGGTTAACCCAACAGGCATTAGAGTTACATAAACGTTTAACCTACACTCATTGAATATCGTCTATATATTTCTAACAGGTTAACCCAACAGGCATTAGAGTTACATAAACGTTTAACCTACACTCATTGAATATCGTCTATATTTCTAACAGGTTAACCCAACAGGCATTAGAGTTTACATAAACGTTTAACCTACACTCATTGAATATCGTCTATATTTCTAACAGGTTAACCCAACAGGCATTAGAGTTACATAAACGTTTAACCTACACTCATTGAATATCGTCTATATTTCTAACAGGTTAACCCAACAGGCATTAGAGTTACATAAACGTTTAACCTACACTCATTGAATATCGTCTATATTTCTAACAGGTTAACCCAACAGGCATTAGAGTTACATAAACGTTTAACCTACACTCATTGAATATCGTCTATATTTCTAACAGGTTAACCCAACAGGCATTAGAGTTACATAAACGTTTAACCTACACTCATTGAATATCGTCTATATTTCTAACAGGTTAACCCAACAGGCATTAGAGTTACATAAACGTTTAACCTACACTCATTGAATATCGTCTATATTTCTAACAGGTTAACCAACAGGCATTAGAGTTACATAAACGTTTAACCTACACTCATTGAAATATCGTCTATATTTCTAACAGGTTAACCCAACAGGCATTAGAGTTACATAAACGATTAACCTACACTCATTGAATATCGTCTATATTTCTAACAGGTTAACCCAACAGGCATTAGAGTTACATAAACGTAAAGCAGTAGAGAGTGCACAGACTGCGGCCGATCTTAAACTTCATCTCGATAAATACCAGGCTCAGTTACGTGAAGCCCAGGTAGCTGTAGCTGAAAAAACAGGTGCTATAGAACAGGAGGCTTACAAATACAAGAGAATGCAGGTATGTCTAAAATATTGATGTATATATGGTAATATGATAGTATGGTAAAATTATTTACATCAGTAATACCACCTAGTGTCTTATTATAAGGATGGTGTGTTAACAGTCCTGGCACTCAGTATATAAAAAGTAGCTGTTTTACTGATAAGTCTGGAGACAGTATTATATGATAAGTTAAGAGTGTCATAACAGTGTGTCTGCTGTGTTATATTAGTACTTGAATATTTAGATGTGAATGCTTGTTTATGGATGTGGTAAACTATATAAAAACACACCCACTTTTTAATAATGATTAATACTTGCAAAAACCCTCCTGAATTAATAAAATTGGTAACTGGTATGTGAGGAAACTATTCAGCTTGTTAATGAAATGTTGGCAGTTCACCTTAGATACAGTAGGACATGTTCCTGTAGTTATAAACAGAGATAAAACATATTCTAGTTATAATGCAGATTCACACAAAATGTTAAAGTAGCTATGGACTGAGAAGGAACATATTATTGTAGGTATTCATGGGGATAGTACATGTCCCTGCAATTATTTACATAATTAGAACATGTTTCTACTGTTAGGCACAAAGAACAAACGATTTCCTGTAGTCATGCATAGAGATAGGACATGTTCCTTTAATTATGAACAGAGAAAGGTCATATTATTCCCTGTGGTCTCCAACCGCAGGGTATTGGTACGCGTTTAACTTTTGAGGCATGGGGGAGCACATGACCTGTTTTCGGTACATGGAGGATCATGTGATCTGTAAACCGTACATGATTGGTTAATTGACCTTTTCGAAAACCTAGCTAAATACCGTTTGCCGGTACGTTACGGATTTACCTCTAGGGAATTAGTCCGAATTACACCTAATTAAGAACAAAAAACTATTACGTGATATTTTTAATTTTCTATAATTATTTTACCGTTTAAGGTGGAAAAACTTAAATGATGTGTTTGAAAATTATCAATGTTTCTATAAAATCTATCTCAAATTTTACAAACAATAAATTGTTTATACTGAAACCTACAAAATTAAAATATTCGTAGTGGCATCTGCCATAATAAATAGAGATATTTTCTGCGTAAACTTGTGTGTTAACTTTATTCTTTGTTTGCTCGGAATTATTCATAAAATGGTAGGCATATTTAATCATTTTCTTAAAAAGAAATAATTGTTTGATGTTCGACCTTCTCCGGACTTCAACGGTGACCAGTTTCCAAAGACCTTTTTCTATATTGATCGATTATAATATTGTCAACTATATTCCTAATACAAATGTTTATTTATCAACCCCACAAACAATTTTGAAAATAGTTCAATGAAATATCTTTATATCATTAAAAATGTTCCCCGCAGGAAACCATTTTACTTGTTGGTATCATGTACTAACTTTGAAGATTTGATTACCACTATGAGATGGAGTATGTTTTACAAGAATGTTCCAAATATTTGAAAAGTTAGTATTATTATATAAAGTTAAGATTGTTGTAATATTTGCAGGAGGAGATAGCAAAGTTACAACGTAAAGTAGAAAGAAGTAAGAAGATAGAGATGGCTGGAGGTGCTGACGAGGTTTTATTGGCTGAGATACAGGAATATAAGGTACATGTAATACATTATATTATAATACAGGAATATAAGGTACATGTAGTTCATTATATTATAATACAGGAATATAAGGTACATGTAGTTCATTATATTATAATACAGGAATATAAGGTACTTGTAGTTCATTATATTGTAATACAGGAATATAAGGTACATGTAGTTCATTATATTAAAATACAGGAATATAAGGTACATGTAGTTCATTATATTATAATACAGGAATATAAGGTACATGTAGTTCATTATATTATGATACAGGAATATAAGGTACATGTAGTTCATTATATCATAATACAAGAATATACGGTACATGTAATTCATTATATTATAATACAGGAATATAAGGTACATGTAGTTCATTATATTATAATATGTTAAATACATGGTCATTTTTGATTGGTTGAAATGTTTGACAAAATGCTATGACTGTATAAAACTGTAAGGTACATGGTTATTTGATTGATTTTATAAGTAATTTTGTTATTTTTATGAATACATGCTAACATAGTTAAAAATTAATAATCTTTCAATTATTTTGAGGGGTTGTTGCGAAAGGATTGTAAATCATATTAAATACAGAAGGATTTAAGACCCTTTCACATTAAGCTGTCAAATTTTGATAAACATATAGGTCAGTTATTTTGTTTCTATTGATAATTATGTAGAAAGTTATTTACTGATATGTTTGTTTACATTGTAAATTTGCTTATCATTTTGTCAAATGATTGAATAATATAATTGTAACATTACCAGCTTTATTTTCGAGGGCTTAGGGCAGAACTGGTCCATCTTTTTATAGAAATAGAAGCAGATAGACCAATTTCGCTCTAAACCCTCAAAGTGTTATTTTGTATATATTTCTATCATGTTAATAATTTTTACTAATATATATGTATTTGTATTCTTTTACTAGGAGCAGTTAACTTGTCCATCATGCAAAGTGAACAGGAAAGATGCAGTGTTGACAAAGTGTTTCCATGTGTTCTGTCTAGAATGTTTAAAGACCAGATATGAAACAAGACAGAGAAAATGTCCAAAATGTAACGCAGGATTTGGTGCGAATGACTATCATAGACTTTATCTCACTTAGTACATGTACTAATATATATGGTATGTGTGTATATGTGTACAATATATGTATATATGTCTCTTTTTACACAGCATATTGCATATATTATATGAATGTTGTCAGTATGTGTAGGAAAAATGTCACGTGTTCTGTGTGATTGTGTTTTTGGAAGCATCTAAGTACATTTCTTTCTTGTCATATATTTTTTCTATTTGACAAGTAAAGAAGTAATAGTAATGGAGGAATTTATGAAATATATAATTGTGAAGTATGCTTTCTAAATTTCTGTATTATTTTAAGTGATTTTATGTTAAAATAAGCATAAAATAAAATAAAAATGTATAAAATTAACTTTTTTGTTATGTTATTCTGCTCCATGGTTGGGAGAGACCACAAAATAGTTTTACATACTTCATAACTGTGTAATAATCTTTAAAACTTGATATGTACGTAATTGTTGTCAATATTCATACAAGGTTTGATGAGTCCTGAAGTTTTAAGGGTCAATAAATTTCTTCTTGACAATTAAACTGGTACATTTGAGTCTCGAGTTACTTGTCACAGGTGATGTTAGAGATCGTGTGGCATTATCAGTCCATGTCTTGTAGAGAAATTGGTAATTACTGGATAAGTACCCAGGAAAGCTTGTGAGTTGATTGACTGCAGAGATATGACTCAAAAGGTGTTAAAATTGGTGTATATTTGAACTTAAAGCTTCATTTTGTCGGAAAAGTGGTAATGGTTATGTTTGTCTGAAAGCTGCCAGTTATAATTTAAATGGGAAAAAAAATTGAAGGTATTCCCTCATCACTCTGGATATTTAATTGTTAGCTTCAATATTCATAGATATTATTAATTTCGCGGACTTGTACATGCTTCACGGGGTAAAAGAATTATCGTCTTCGTGTTCCAGATTACATCATAAGCAATGGCCCAAACTGAACACCGTAGTTCTCTGCTGTCATTGTCTTTTAACAGTTTAATGAATTCATTTAAATACCATGACGGTTTTTAGCTCGACTATTCGAAGAATATGAGAGCTATTGTAGTCGCCCCGGCGTCCGCGTCGGCGTCTGCGTTGGTTAAAGTTTTTTGTAAAGTCAAATATCTCAATTATTACTTGAGATATTCAATTGAAACTTACAATACTTATTTATAGTAACAAGGTACATCAGATTGACAAGTTTGATAACTCTGCCTACAATATTGACAGAATTATGCCCCTTTTTAACTTAGAAATTTTGGTTAAAGTTTTTTGTAAAGTCAAATATCTCAATTATTGCTTGAGATATTCAATTGAAGCTTACAATACTTATTTATAGTAACAAGGTACATCAGATAGACAAGTTGGATAACTCTGCCTACAATATTGACAGAATTATGCCCTTTTTAACTTAGAAATTTTGGTTAAAGTTTTTTGTAAAGTCAAATATCTCAATTATTGCTTGAGATATTCAATTTAAACTTACAATACTTATTTATAGTAACAAGGTACATCAGATTGACAAGTTGGATAACTCTGCCTACAATATTGACAGAATTATGCCCCTTTTTAACTTAGAAATTTTGGTTAAAGTTTTTTGTAAAGTCGAATATCTCAATTATTGCTTGAGATATTCAATTTAAACTTACAATACTTATTTATAGTAACAAGGTACATCAGATTGACAAGTGGGATAACTCTGCCTACAATATTGACAGAATTATGCCCCTTTGGAACTTAGAAAATTTTTTTGTTAAAGTTTTTTTGTAAAGTCAAATATCTCAATTATTGCTTAAGATATTCAATTGAAATTTAAAATACTTTTTTGTAGTAACAATGTTCATCAGTGTGCAAAATTGCATAACTCTGCCTGCAATATTTGCAGAATTATTTGCCCCTTTGAAACTTAGTAATTTTGGTTAAAGGTATTCAAAGATATTTACTTGAAACTTTACACATGCACTTAGGGTCATAATTGGAGGGTCATAATTGTATGTCACTGACCAAGTTCCATAACTCTATCTTGCATTAAGGCTGATTCATATCCCCTTTTCTACTTAGTCTCTTGGTTAATGTTTACATGCAAGTTTTAAATATCTCAATAACTATTAAAGATATTTATTTAAAACTTCACATATGCATTTAGGGTCATAATTGTAGGTCACTGACAAAGATCCATAATTCTATCTTGCATTTAGGCTGATTTTTCACCCCTTTTTCAACTTAGAAATTCATGGTAAAGTTTTGTTTGTAAGCTGTTATCTCAATAACTACTGAAGGGTTTGTGCCTTTTTTGGGACAATTTTATGCATTCATAATAATAAAGCAGTGATTTCTTGATAAAACATCTTAATAACAAGCCTTTGTACCTTGTCTGTCAAATTTATGTATTCATAGGTAATTAGTATTATTATATTCAATAAAACACCCTTGTGACATTACCTTCCGAATAGTCAAGCCAATACTGTATAATTAGACTCTCTCTAAGGCCTATAACATGAATTTATAAAAAAAAATTAGCCCTTTTGTGAACTTAAAAAATTTAACATTATCAAGGCTCTTTTACTATCAAGCACTTAGAATAGTCGAGCGTGCTGTCCTTCCGACAGCTCTTGTTAAGTAATTAGACTTATTAATATCCTCTGCATATCCCACGCTTTTATAAACTTACATGATGTAATGAAGTGTTGAAAAAAAGAGATATAATGAATTTATCCTAGTTGACAGGTTGACATTTCAAAGGAGTATTTGTATGGAAAAAATAAATTGAATTCGTGTTTTTAATTTTTAGGAATGTTGAATAGTTCAGAAAGTTGACTGTCACTTATTACCCTCATTTTAATATATTTAAGGCATATTTCACCTCAAAAGCAAGTAAATTTTACTTTTTTTAGAAAGGTAAATCATGAACTTTATAATAATGGTTTAAGGGAATGTCAGATGCTTGTTACCTGGAGATAGAACCGATAAATGTGAAATATTTTGTCATAAAAATAGCAAAATGTAAATAAAATAGTACATGTATATTGACTTCCATACAAAATATTAATTCACATTAAGTGTACTTATTTTCCAAACTGAAAAAATGAGTCACATAATTGCTTAATGAGTAACTTTTTAGATACTTGTTTGTTTGATTGGGGTTTACATCACATCGACACAGTAGGTGGCGCAAGAGCTCAGTTAGTTAGACCACGGACTTTCACTCCTAAGGTTCCGGTTTCGACCCTGGGCAACACCCTTGGGATTTTTCCGAGAAACTTTCAGCGTTTCCCACCTACCTAGAGGTTTACTGGTAAGAAACCCAGGTAATCCTTGCATGTATAAATGCTTGACATTGGGCATGTAAAAGAACCAAGGAATCTATTCAATTAGAGCAAGGGACTGGTTCCCGGACTCCCTTGTATCTCATAGCTATCTCAGAGTCTGTTGAGGTAAGGACCCTACTGGAAATAAGTGCTTGCACTTTCGTAGGTTATCTTTGACCGCCAGGTCTAAAGAAAATCAATCAATAAGTCATATGACGACGTTCTAGCTTTACTGGTGGAGGAAGACCTCAGGTACCCTTACGTGCATTATTTCAGGCATGAACGAGCACCTGATTAGAACCATCGACATTCCGTAACTAGCTGGATAGCTTCCTCTTATGAAAGAATCCAAAGTCCCTGTTGGGATTCGAACCCACGACGGTGAAGGGCAAGTGGTTTGAAGTCAACGACGTTAATCACTAGGCCACGGACGCCCCAAATAGCTTTTGAGAAAAAAAAATGAAAGCATTTATGAGGCATAATGGGCACACAAAACATTCACACAAAACATTTTCTTTTTCATTTATTTCATATAAAACTACACATATTACTGAAAGTAAATTTGCTTAATCTTGGTCAAGGTGAGGAAAAGTATAAACAAGCTAGAAAATATGAAGACCATAAAAAACTTGATCTATGATTCATAACAAACATTAAAAAATCAAGATCAAGGCAATATTTAGTATATAACCAATGAAGCGAAAATAAGGGATAAGCTGGCGGCGTGGCCTAGTGGTTAACGCATCGGACTAGTAATCTAAGGATTGCTGACCGCGTGGGTTCAAACCCTGTCAGGGGCAAGCCGTTGTTTCCTTGAGTTTCAGGAACGGATTCGAGAGTATTTCAATAAGCTTATAGCTTCCAACACAATCGAACTAAAATATATTTGTATAAACCAAGGGATAAGCTGTTAAACTGAGCCCGGTTTTTCATTAAAAGGCTATCGCAATGTACATGCTTTTCAAATAATGTTATTAAATACAACTTTAACAAAATTTGTTTGCTTGATTTTTCAGAATAAAAATAAAAGTAATTAACACAACATGATATAAACTGTCATAATTTATCCACAAAGAGGCATTTCATAAGAGAGTAAGAGAGGTCGCCGTTTACCACGGCTGCAACAACTTAATTCTTCTTTGAACCATCCGTGTAAATGTGTATTAAATCTTTGTTCTTTGAGTTTTCAAAAATGCTCTTTAAATCCTACAGTAGAATAAAATGACTTTTTTAAAAAAACTTTGAAATACAAACATTCACTTTAAGAGAATTATAAGTCCACGGAGGAATTCCTTTTTTCGACATTTTGAACAATATGTTTTGGGTTTATTGTAAGTGTTTCTAAACAATCTTTCACAAGGATGACTAATGGTTTTATTTCCTTTGGTTTGTTTACAAAGTGGTAAAATTACGTGAGTTTTACTATTTTAAGTAACACTAGATACATATTGAAGAGAGAGTTGTTGTTGTTTTGTTTTTTTCTTTCGATGTAGATAAAGGCATGTTCTCCCGACTATCTCCTGTTGATGTTCCATATATATACCACGGCCAAACGTTAGCCTTGGTGCTGTATAGTATCAAGCATTTATAAATACGATTTCTTGATGACCCATAAGCTATAGAACCTTAATCTTTTTTTACTAATAATGACTGATTTGTACATATGTACAATTTTAATTGGGTAGAGGATTTTTATCCCAAATCCGTGTAAGACAGTAAAAACAGTCACATTAACTTTTAAAGTATAACAATAGACACTTTCATAAGTTTTACAGTGGACACAGTCACACAGGTTTTACAGCCGATACAGTCACACAAGCTTTACAGCCGACAAAGTAAAAAATTTTACAGTAGACAAAGTCACACAAGTTTTACAGTAGACACAGTCAATCAAGTTTTACAGTAGACACAGTCACACAAGTTTTACAGTAGACACAGTCATACAAGTTTTAAAGTAGACACAGTCATACAAGTTGAACTGCAGACTCAGTAACACGTTTTACAGTAGACACAGTTACACAAGTTGAACTGTAGACACAGTAATACGTTTCACAGTAGAC